GAGACGGGACAGGCAGAACTGTCGGCACGACCGTAGTAACCTGCGTAGTCGAGCCCTGGCAAGTACTGCAGGGCTTTGTCAAAGTCTGCGTTTGGTAGATAGTCGACTGCTGAGGCACAGGCACCACATTGGTCGAAGTAGTTGTCTTGGGCGAAGTGGCCTGGACGACAGACGTGGCGGGAACGACTGTAGGCACCACCGTAGTGACCTGAGTAGTAGACCCCGGGCAAGAGGAGCAGGGCTTGGTCAGAGTCTGGGTTTGGTAGATCGTCGACTGCTGAGGAACAGGAACCACGTTCGTAGTCGTTCCAACCTTAGGCGTAGTGACCTGGACAGACGTGACAGGAACAACCGTAGGAACAACAGTAGTGATCTGAGTCGTGGAACCTGGGCAAGAAGAGCACGGCTGCGTCAGAGTCTGCGTCTGGTAGACAGTCGACTGCTGGGGAACGGGCGTGCCCTTGGGCGTGGTGATCTGGATAGGCGTGACAGGAACAACCGTAGGAACAACAGTGGTGACCTGGGTAGTGGAACCCGGGCAAGAAGAGCACGGCTTGGTCAAAGTCTGCGTCTGGTAGATGGTCGAAGGCGTGAGGACTGGGATCACGCTCGTCGTAGTCGTCGTCTGGCGAGAAGAGACGGGGGCAGGCGACGGGTTAGGAGTGCTGATCGTGATTGGAGTCAACACCGGAACGGAGGACTTGGTGATCGAAGTCGTAACCTCGATCGTAGACTTGTACGTCGTGGTAACCACCGAGGTTGTCGTGCCCGACGTAACAGGGCAGATGGTGGTCTGAGGCTCGTTAGCAAGAATCGGATGCTGGATCAGATGGTACTTACATAGATGCTCGTGGTCTGGCTCGTGGTGGTGCCACCAGGGCACACGGCGCAAGGCAAGGTTACAACGGCAGTGGTCGTCGCTATGCTGGTGGTGGTGGTGGTGATTGGACAGATGGTGGTGTAGGTAGAAATAACGTCCTTCTCGGTCATGACCTTGCTGCCGCTAGCGCTAGGGCCTTTGGACTGGGCAGGCGTGCTCACACCAGGAGAAGTTTGCTTTGGGGTGGAGATTGCCAGAGAGCGAGTGGAAGAGGAGACGGCAATAGGTGATGACTGGGGAGACTTGGAGGAAGAAGAGACGGCAACTGTCGAAGACTGGGGAGTAGAGTAACCAGGCCAAGTCGACCGAGTCTCAGTCTTTGAACCAGACCCAGATGAATGAGAAGTCGAAGCCCCCGAACCAGGCCAGGTTGACGGAGTCCCAGGTGCCGAGGACTTTGCTGGAGTGGTGACATTCAAGGCATTGTTGTAAGGGCTAGCCACAGCAGAGCCCGCGAGGGCCAAGAGAGCAATGGCTTTGCGCATGGTGGAGAGCAGAGAATTGCCGCTCCTCTCGGGGGGTTTGGAGGTGTATAAACGAAAGAAGGCAGTAACCGTAGCGAGCGAGTTACTCCTGCCGCTGTCAAAGAGGAAGTCGAGGACTGCGAGCGGCCAAGGTAGGACGAGGGGACGAGGCTCCCTAAAAGGATCCCGCAGTAGTTGATGTCTGGTTGCATGGACCGGGCTAGAGTCGAACGGCAGTCATCTCACCCGGTTCTCGTGAGAGCTTGGCCAGTGGTGCATGCTCGGTCTGGCATAGCTCAATGGGCAGCCGGATGCAGGAAGCTGTCGTAATACCAAAGTAGCCAATTTTCTCCTCATGGTCTTCGTATCGATAGGGTAGGGCAGGCTAGGACCACGCCACGGGGCGCCGTTGGTGATGGAGGTACCGACACAATGGCCTGACGGAATATTGGCAGGTGTACGCGGCTGCGGCCATTCAGATTCTAGATAAGACGCCAACCTGGGTACGCTACCCAGCAGAGCAAGGTCTCCAACTCTTTTTTTCCTCCTTTCCATGTCGACGATCGATCGATTTGACGGTTTGCCTGACGAGAAGCTCCCTTTACGCACTGGCTAGCCAGACCCGTTGCAGCATGAGGATCCGCGAGATGTGGGGTAATTAGAGGGCGAAGAGGGGCCGATTTCGCTCGCCCAGGTAAATGGGCGCCGGCGGGGAGAGATCCCGGCAGGCCGCTCGCGCGATCGAATCCCAGGGATATGTCCATGACCGGGTTGGCTGGCTGGCTGGCTGGCTGGGTGTTGACATGGGCTGTAGGAGTCGGTGTCAGCGGCCTGCAGTTTCTTCTTGCCCAGCCTAACCGCATCCAGCGCCCTCTGTTCCTGCATCGCGCGCTTCTGCAATTCTGGAGCGCCCACGTCGGTGGCTGGAGGGCTACCCGTCGCACAGTGTCGTTTCCGAAAATCTCTCGTCATTCGTGTGCCTGGCCCGAGGGGCGGGAGGGGGAAGATCGCCGCTCGCATCCTCCACCTCCACTTCTCCACACCACTACTGTCGATGATCGCCGCCGCGCAACCTCGCCGCCAACGGTGCATCGTGGAATCAAGGGGGAGAGAGAGAGATAGAGAGAGAGAGCAGCCGCACCGCTACCCCACCTAGGGTCTTGACGCTTTCGTACGAGGGCGTATACCCCTCTTTGACGAATATTGCCGCCGTCATGTATGGCCAAAAATTTCCCCTCCCCTCCCCTTGTGATCGCCCGGCTTCCCTCGGATCTCCACCGCCATCTGCACGGCGGTCGGGCTGCAGCGAGCGCGCAAATATCATCTCGAGGGCGGCTGCAGCTGGTGAGAGTCACCTTGTCCGTGGTACCCCATTACACATCACGCGTCGCGAACCCGGACAGCTCGTTGTGGGTAGGCATCACAAGCCTTGTCCGAGCGACACGAACTCCCCCACTTTGCTCATGACGCCGTTAATGGGATTCTCTCCGCCGCTTCACGCTTTTGCGCTTCAGTTTGATGCTTTGATTCCGTGCTGATTGCTACGGATACCTCGTTGTTGTCTTCCGCCCACAGACAACCAGTCCTCAATCTTCAACCTATCACTCATACAACGACATACAAATACTGTACCTCGAAGCTATCACAAATAACAAACCCAACAACAGATCGCCCTTGTCGTGTTCGTACGGGCAGCGACGTCGAACACGGCAACAACACCTACCTAGGTACCTACGCAAAGAAAGAAAAAAAAAAAAAAAAAAAAACGTCCAGGTAAGTTTAGGCTCGAGCAGTAACCTACAGAAGTGTTTCCTTGAATAGAACCATGAGATCATGCACTTGGCCGCGCACGAGTAGCGGCGTATGCGTCCGAAAATGTCATAGCCCGAAAAGGGAAGGGAAGAAAAAGATGAAGATGTGATGTGTGATGTCATAGCAAAACACCGAATTTTACATTTTGCATCGCCAGCCAGCTTCACCAAAACCTCAACGAGTCTATCCTGTCGTCGTCGTGCAGCCAACAGCCAACACCCAACGTCGTCTGTGCAGCGCCCAGCGCCCAGCGCCCCGATCCGCCAAACCGTGCCGTGCCCCAACAGCTTGCTCCCGTCCCGCCCAACGCCAGGCCGCCAGGCCCAAGCCTCCACTGCGCCTCGGGCAGACGCCAGGGCGCACCGGCTCCCCCGCCGGCGCAGGAGATGTCATTGCTGCTTTTGTGTGTCGCGGTGCATGCGTGGGATGGTAATGACTTGTGCTGCTGCTGACGGAGCGTTGATGCCAACTAGGTAGGTAGGTAGGTAGGTAGAGTAGGTAAGGGTTGGGGCTAGGTTCTGCGCTTTGGCCTTCTATGTAGGTGTTGGATTCTGGGTTGTTTTGCTGCGTGTCTGCCTGTTTGTTTGTCCAATGACATGGACTCTGCGAACGACGCCCACGATACCTACTCTACTAGATCGTCTCTGCCGTCTAGGTAGGTATGCCATCATGGCGCGTCTGCTTGCTTGCTTTCTCCGAAATGAGGACGAGCCGAGCTGCGCGTAATTCTGATTAAGGTACGGTTCCTATGTACGCACCCTCTACCATCCTTTCCCCTCAAGCCTCCCCTCTTATCCACCCCGCGCCAGCACGCCAACACTCAGCCACACACACGCCCCGCATACACAATTACTCACCCAACGTTGCCTTCACTCGCCGTCCTCGCCGTCACTCGTCGTCCTCGCCACTATCATCGAGCTCACTATCCCAGCCCTCCTCATACTCCTCGCGCAGCGTCTGCAGCGCATTAGACAAGGCCTCGCGCTCGTCAAGCGCGACAGTGCGGCCCACCAGCGCGGCCATGCCGCGCACGCGCTCCGTGATGCCCGTCGAGGTCGCGAGCGAGGCTTGCACGGCCAGCGCGCGCGTCGTGGTTGCGGCTGTGCTGTTGAGCCTGAAGATGGGGGGGTAGCTGTCGAGGTGGGGGAAGAGGAGCGGGGTTGTGTAGCTGTGGGGAGGGATGCTGTTAGTGTTTGTGTTTGTGTTTGTGTTTTTGTGCGCGTGCATGCGTGCGTGGGTTGTTTATTGTTGTTGGGGAGGGGAGACCGGGGTCCGTTGTCCAGGGTCGCGGAGGCGGTCATGCATGCATGTGAAAGCGCGTGGGAAGGTAGGTAGGAACCGGGGAGAACTCACCGCTGCACCATCTTCGATCCTGCGAACCGGTCGCGCGCCTTCGCGTTCTGCTCCTCAATCTTCTCCGCCTGCTCCCAGTCTCCGCGCAGGCTGTCCACGCGCCCAAACACGTGCACTCTCTTCTTCCTGCCGCCCATCCCCCGCTGAACCTGCTCGGGCCCGATGCCCAAAAACTCCACGTCCAGCGCCCGTGCCCCTTGATTCTCATCATCTTCTTCATCTAAACCCTCATACGCGCGCGACGGGCGAGGCGGCTTCCCAGCGCCTGGCTTCCCCATCTTCGCCTCCCGTGCCTTCTCCGCCGCTTCTTCTTCCTCGCGCAGCCGTGCGGTCAACGCCTCTGGGTCTGCGACGCTCATGCTCAGCTCGGCGATGCGCCGGTTGCCGCCGTTATTGAAGGCGGCTTCCATTTCGGCAAAGGTGTGGCGCTGGGATGCTGGCTTGAGGCGTGAAGGCAGCGTCATTGACTCCAAGGCTGCGGCTTGGAGGGCGGATGTGTGCCAGCGGGATGAGGGACTGTATGTAAGGTAGGACGGTGTCTTGGAGGGTTGGTCGAGCAAGGGGATGTAGGCTGTTGCTTGTTCCGTGAGAGCAGACAGCGAACGAGCGCGGTTGGTGAGGGCTAGAAGTTTCTTGTCCTGAGTATGGGTTAACAGACTTAGGGGAGAGGCGGAAGGCATTATGAAAATGACTACAGTCCACAAGATGCTTTAAGGAACATGATCTTACCCTTGCCTTCTTCTCTTCGTCTTCTAGCGCCCAAACCCAAATGCTCAGCTTGCCAAACTCGTCGCGTAGTCTTTCGGCATAGCGTGAAGAGAATCCACCCCAAGCATCATCCACGCCAGTCATCATCTGCAGCGCCTGAAGCTGGTCACATTCCTCGATGAATGGCCTCAAATCACTGCCATACGTTAGCCATTAGCTTTCTGCATATAATTTATTTTAACCTCAAGAGCAATGCAAGCCTCACATCTCCGATTAATCCGGCTTTTCTCAGAAATCCAAAACAACAGAAATGCCTTGAGCAGACTCACCGATCAAGCAAATCATGCTCCTTGTCCAGTTCTCCAAACAACTCCCCGCCGGCGTCCCATGCCTCAAACGGCATGATGCGGCTCTGAAGTTCATACTCATGTAGCTGGACCAGGCCCTTCGGATGGAAATAGACGCGGCTATAATCAGACCAGTACCGTACAGACTCTGGGGTCAATTGCGGTGGCTCCAATCCTGCATCCATATGCTGCGTGTACGTGCTTGGTGCGATTGGTTCAGCGCGAATAGGGACTGTGGTACCCTGCCTATAATTGAAGTGTCAGCATTAGGATTTGACATAGCTATGAATCGTCCTTGATAACAGCATGGATGGTCTATATATCTGAAATTTATATAGACTTTGGTGATGAAATGGACGGTCTATCCAAAAACAGAAAAGAAAAAATGGAAACACTACGTTAAATCGTCCGAAGTCTAGCATCAAAATTCAAGCAAGCCGCAATCTGCATTCATCGACTTCTGTCTCCAAGCTCTTGCATATCAAATGGACGTAGGATAAAATTGGAAAAAGTTGGAAAAAATGAAAATTTCACCTACCACAATCCCGCACTCGTCTCAGCCTCTTCTAATGGATCATACAACGCATTAATCTTCTTCAAACTTCCAAATGCGCCTTTGAGATCGTAGATGACGGCGCGCGGCATGAACGTGTCGCTGCCGTCAGCGCCGATGCCAGGCCGGAAGTGCACGTCATGGTCAACGGGCGACTCGGTCTGCGAGTCGTACGTAAAGTACGATTCCTTCGGAAACAAGTCAGCTTAGCTGTAGTGGGAGAATGAATTGCCTGGGACAAGAGTTCTGTACTTGAGTGTTCCAGAAATGGGTGCCCAGATAGTTGCTCTGTTGGCCGAACTGAAGGGTGACGATTTCATGCATGATGGTGGTTGGTGGGCAGAATTTCGGTGAAGAAAATTGTAGATGAAGTTGGATGGAAATGACTAGTTACGCTAGTCACGTGGGCATGTTTTTGGCAGATGCTGGAAGATGTTGCTTCTCCGCATTGTATCCATGTCTTGGCACAAATTATGGTGTTGAAAGACGTCATGCACATGGCGGAAGACATCAACGACGGATGCAACCGGCACTCTTAATGATTTGTTTGGCCGACCCGATCAGCGGCTTCTGGCTTTCATGGCTCATTGATTTTTTTTTCCAGTTGATCTATCCACAAACTCCAGCCCCATCCCAAAATCGCTCCAATAATAAATCAAGCTATACCAAGCTTGTTTGCTCGTTGTATAAAACACAACACCCTAACCCATCAGCTGCAGCTGGTCGTCGGGTGGCCACCTCGTCTGCGCAAAGCTCAAGCATCGCTTAATGCTCTGCAGGTACTTCCTCGTAGTTTCGTCGCTCATGATGTGGGCCGAATTTTTATCGCTCTCATGAAGCTTCTCGCGCGCTGAACGCTCGTGGATACCAACCATGGTAACACCAATGGGCCAAGCACTGTCACTCGTCAGCAAGTCGCTCCATATCACGCGAAGAGACGCTACTCACGCCTTGCCGATACTGAGCCTCAGATATCCATCATTGGCATCAACATACCGCCTCTCCTGTGCTGCGTTCACAATTTCCACCACCGGCTCCAGGATGCCGTCTTCTAATTCCCCCTTCTCCAACTTCTTGAACAGTGGCCTCATGTTCTCTCGTGCTTGCACCATTGCGTTATATGCCTGCTTGCCCTGGAAACTCGTCCTGACATCTTCTGGTCGCTGCGCGAGCGCAATCTCCCACTCCCGCAGAACCATTGTAAAGTAGGATCCCAGCTGCCGGAAGAGGAACTCGCGGCTCTCCTTGTCCTTGGGTAGCTTGGTATCCACCTTCATCTCTGCCTCCGGCACCAGCTGCAACGTTGTTGGAATCGGTCCATCGCTCAAAGCTGGCGCCGTTAGCGCCCCAGTAATCTTCTTGTACCGCTTCAAACGTTGCCTGTGGCTCTCGCCGAAGATCCGCGCTGGCTGCTCCAGTTCCCTCAGCTTCGCCACCAACTCTTCGTCCGGAATGTCCTCGCCCTCTGCGAGCGGCGTCTCCTCCTTTTGTTGTTCTCTTGGTGGCAAGTCCGGCAGACCCAGCCTCTTCCTTCTAGCACGCTCAGCTGCGTCCTCCTCCTCTTCCCTCAACTTGCGCGACTGTTCAGCGAGACGGCGCTTCTTCTCCTCGCGCTCACGGTTGCGCTCGGCTTCATCATCCTCAAGCTTGCGCTTTTGTCGAACTTTCTCTTCCCGCGCTTCTTCGGCGGCCTTCTGCTCGGCGATGTAGGCGGCTTGTCGCTGGGCTTCAAGCTCGGAGCGCTTGAGATACTTTTTGGAGGGATCGTCGGTAGGTGTTGAGGATTTGCTTTTAGCGATCTGAGCGGACATCAACTTGGCAAAGTCCATGGTGTAGGAGTTTGCTGATCCAAGCGAGTATGGGACAGGGTTGGGAGAGGGAAAGTCGAAGGCGCGTCAAATGCCGGCTCGGCGCACAGGCCATCTTCAAGCTCCATGTAAGCTTCCCGTTTGCGCCGTCATCACAACCACCACCCCGCCTGGCTCCCATTGTCTTCAGAGAAAGCCATTGCGCTTTTCGACCTCCGCCGTATCGCACACCTGCTACATTCGCATGCGCCGCGCCTGACATCTACCGTCACAATGAGCTCCAGCGGGCCTTCCTCCGGTTCCAAATACGACCGACAAACCACCACGCCGTTCCTACTGAAGCTCTTCTACCGCACCAACAGTTTCCACCGCCTTGAAGAGTTTTCGCCTTACGCTTCCTCGCCGCCTCCGCATCTCCAAATCTACACTTGGCCTACCTGCACGCTGCGCGAGCTGACACATCTGCTAGTGTCCGCTTTGCCTTCTGTTGTGCCCTCACCCGCTATCGGCACGCGCTTGGCCTTCAAGCTGATATTCCCAGATGCGCGCGATGCTGCGAGCGGCCGCGACAATGGACCCGCTCGATATGTGAGCAAGGATCTGGGCAGCGTGGTCATCGGTGCTGGCGGACCAGGCGTAGATGACGAAGCCAACGGTCGCAGCGAACTCGACAGACTGGAAGGCGACGCAGACAAGACACTGCATGCCGCGCGCTTCATCATTGGCGATTATGTCTCATGCGCCATCTTCCCACCTTTGTCTGATGGTAGCGTGGCCCCACCGCCGCCGCGCGAGCGCTATTCGCGTGCCGGCGAGTTTGGCATGTCGAGAGGAGGTGGGGGACCACCACGTGAAAATGGCTACGGTGGCGGCTACGGGAGAAGGGGTGGTGGCAGGTACGATGGCCCTGGCCGACTCGGAAGCGGAGGGGTTCCATCTGGTGAATGGAGAAGAGGAGAGGTACCCAGCGGCGGCCCTGGCGGTTATGGAAGAGGAAGAGGGCGTGGAAGGCCGTACTGACCTCTGTATTAAGCGGACATGGTAGCGGGCAGGCAAGGCGTTGAAACACAACCAGAAATGACCCACGAGTAGCTTTCCGGTGAACGCTTTGAGCGAAAGGAAGAATTGAAGACGCAAGGAATCTCTCACTGGACGGACCAAAGTTGACGAAAGCGCATTGGCAGCTCCACTTACACTCATATGGACTCTTTGGAAGACTTTGGGAGTGTGGACAATACCCATTCAACGCCTTGCGATTATCTTTCAAAAGCGGCTGTAACAACAATCATAGTTCGAAACGAAAGTACGGAGACCTACAGCTGGACAGCGATTTAACGCAGAACACTTTGTGAGTGGATTACGCAAAAAATGTCACTGCATTTAATAATGTGTTAGCAGATCTGCAGAGTATAGAGGACATACTTTCGACGGAGATAAAGATGGTCATGAGGCCCTACAGAAGCAAAATTTCCGGAAAACCACAAGACAGGACGGCTTATATGCACCGACCTTATCTCGTAACTGGACACAGGGCCTTTTGATCAAAAAACTCACTGATGTCGGGAAGTGCGATGAGCTGCTTGTGTCTACTGTCCTGGAGCTTGTACTCTGGGGCAGTAGTAGGAGTTTGATGAGAGAAGACTGCCAAACGGGCGGGCAGAGAAAGCTGTATTTCATAGTTGTTTGGATTCTACTCGATGTGAAATAGGTACTGGAGGCCTTGATTCTTCTTTCAGAACAAACACTTCTGAGTCGGAGCAATAAACTTAGTGGATGAGCTGCTTTGACGAGAGTCACGCTGCTGTATTTGATAATTGAGGTGGCCACGACTAAACTTCGGTCCGTGTTTTGTCGTCATAGGTGCCGACCATTCACATTCAGTTCCCACACCACCCGCAACCAACTACAAATATTTCCAACCTACATAAATCCGCTCTCGCAGAACAATGAAATAAGATCCAGTCCGCTCAGCGCGCCGCTCGAGTATCGACCATGAACGCTCTTCGCACTGTCCAATACTTTCTCAACCGTCTCCTCCCATTCACCACACCTGGTACGCCTCTCGTGCAGGACCTGGTGCATACCATCGCCCTCTGCGCCTTTCTCTACTTCGCGCCGCACGTCCTCGAAAACCGAGCAAACCGGCAGCAAGATTCATCTTCCGACATTCACGATGACAACGCCGTTCCCGATGCAGCGCCTCCGCCCCGCGCAGACCCGCAATTTGAGTCCGAAGACGAAGACTTCGAAGCCGACGACGGCGAGGACATAGATGCTCTCCCACCCGCTCAGGCTCAAGCGCCCTTCCAAGCGCACGTCGAAGACGAACCCGCGCCAGGCGGCGGCAACGGCAACCTCGACGATGCGCACGCGCAGCCCGGCCCCGCCGATGCAGCACAGCGCCACGCCAGCCAGCAGACGCGGCAGGTCGGCGCCAAGAAGGCCAAGTCGATAGCGCGGCGGGATCAGCGGCGGGCGTATCACGAGTTTATGCGGTCGCAGGGCGAGCAACAGCGGGCACGGGAGGCGGAGGGCGCCGAGGAGCGCGAGGCGGAGCTCTTTGAAGAGAAGCGGCGGCGGGCGGTGGCGGAGGCGGCGCTGGAGGAGCGGGCGAGGGCAGAGCGCGAGGCTAAAAGGGAGAGGGAGCGGAAGGCGCGCGAGGAGGAGCTGAAGGTGCAGAGGGAGGCGTTGAGGTTGGTGAGGAGTGGGTTGGAGGAGAGGGGAGGGGTGGAGCTTGAGGAGGTGGTGAGGAAGGTGGGGAGGAAGAGTGAGGGGAGGGAGTGGTTGGAGAAGCTGGTGCGGGCGGATGGGATCGTGGGTGCTGGGAAAAGGCAGGATGGGAGTGTACGCATGATCACGGCTGGTGGATGGGTGGTCAGGATTGGAGAAGAGGATATGGCTGCGGCGTGGAAGGCGGTTGCGGAGAGGCAGACGGTGAATATCTCGTATGCGGATCTGGGAGAGGCGCTGGAGGGAGTTGTCAAGCGGCGCATAAAAGCATAGACTGACGCAGAGATGCATTATGATTGAACTAGACTATGCACATGTTTGTCATCCCTGTGGAGGGTGTTGAATCTCTGGGTACAGACAGCATTGTCACATTTTACTTCGACTGCAGCCAGGCAAGGCGTCCTTGCAAAGTAGTATTATCTTGTGTATGGATGAATTTGATAATGTCTCAATGGTACAGTTGAGGTGCGAGTAAAGACGGCCAATCGGTCCTCTTGGCTAGTGCGGTGCGGAATGCTTCGAGTTGTAGTCTTTGCGAAACGACGTGAGACTGCCAAACAGGACGATCGGGAGTGAACCTGAGACTAAAGCAGCGATTGAGCCATCTCCTCGAAATTATTTACACCTTCAGGGACTTGCAAAAGTGCTGGAGACTGCAGATGGAGTGCTGCAGCGCTGGAAGATCGATGGGGCGAGGGTCACGTGCACGTTAAGCGAGTTGCCGGCGGCACTACACTGATCCGACGCTTTCGCTGAAATTATCTCTCGACGACACCGGCGACAACAGCTCCAACCCCACGACGACGAGCCACCCCTCCGTTGACGACAACTTCCCCCCGATAAACCCAGTCGTCCCAACCTGGTCAACATGTCTGACGCCGGCGAAGTTGAGGTTGAGAGCCCTCAGGGCTACATGGTCCTGCCCAAGGACGTCACCGAGGAGATTGGCAGCATCAAGCTGTTCAACAAGTGGAGCTACGAGGATGTCGAGATCAGGGACATCTCCTTGACGTACGGTCACACTCTTTTTCCCGAAAGAAGTCGTATATCGCAGTTTCGCAGGAATTGGACAGCAGAGAGGGCGGCGGCGGACTTGGGACCACGCACTCAATGCGGCAGAGACCTGCGGACGCGATAGCACGAGCACAGACATTCAGGGCACTTTTGCTGACGGGCTTGCGTACAGCGACTACATCCAGATCCGTACTCCCGTCTACCTCTCCCACTCGGCTGGTCGCTACGCCGTCAAGCGCTTCAGGAAGGCGCAGTGCCCCATCATTGAGCGTCTGACCAACTCTCTGATGATGAACGGCCGCAACAACGGCAAGAAGCTCATGGCCGTCCGCATTGTTGCGCACACCTTCGAGATCGTACGTTTATGGCCATTGGCAAGGAAGCGCAAAATCGGCTCTCTAACGCGACTCTGCAGATCCACATCATGACCGACCAGAACCCCATCCAGATTGCCGTCGACGCCATCGTCAACTGCGGTCCCCGCGAAGACTCCACCCGTATCGGTTCCGCCGGTACCGTCCGTCGCCAGGCCGTCGATGTCTCTCCCCTCCGTCGCGTCAACCAGGCCATCGCCCTCCTCACCATCGGTGCCCGCGAGGCCTCCTTCCGCAACGTCAAGTCCATCGCCGAGTGCTTGGCGGAAGAGCTCATCAACGCTGCCAAGGGTAGCAGCAACTCGTACGCCATCAAGAAGAAGGACGAGCTCGAGCGTGTCGCCAAGTCCAACCGGTAAATGGTTGTTTTCCTGCTTGGTTGGGGAGCGGTGGTGTGCCGGTGGTTTTGGTTTGGCTCTGCTTCTGGGAATGGTTTTGTGGACGGGGGGCTAGTCGCAAAAGAGGCTCTTACATGGTAGTTCACATCATACACTCGTCGCAGACAGAACGGAAAATGCATGATCTTTTGCAACGTTATAAATGTATTACCATTCTTGTCCCCTGCGGGCCCCCTCTCCCATCCTTCGTCTGGATCGGATCTTCCTTTCCTTGGTTAAGGCGATCACTGGCAGATTGACCGCAAGCAGCTTTGTCGCTGAGTCTGGACCCCGCAAACGCCGCCGCACCGCTGCGCCCGTTCGCCGTTTCGGCGAATGTACACCACCGTACTTCCACGGGATTGTGCCAGCCACTCCGGGTTGCACATCCGCTCTTTGCCCCTGTCGTCGTACTCGGCGCTCTGCTTGGGTGCCGCATATTACAGCACGCCTTTGAGAGTACATTCACCACCGGATGTCCGCGTTGGGAACCGCCTATATACTTAATTTATCACACACAATACTATCATACACGCGCTACGAGCGCCCTATTACCGCAATTAGTCAAATCAACGCATACTCGAACCCATATATCAACGTCGTTCCCGAGGACAACATGCTCCTCCATAAGAGTAGTTCTGACAAGATTGATTGATTGATTGATTGATTGATTCGTTTTACGTCTATATGCAGTTGGAAACTATGACGGACGGTCCATTTAGGACTGGCTAGGGGGTTTAAATACAAGATAAAAGCGAGGTGGTGCGAGGGATGGTTGGATCTAGGCCGAGGTTAGTTCTGACAAGGTTTGGCTTGTCTTCTTTCTTTCCTTCTTTACTGGGCGCTTTCGGGCCCGAGTACACTCTATTATAAGAAGGCTGGGTTTTGCATTCTTCTGATGTTCGGCCAGCCAATTTCAGTTACGGTTTAGATGTTGGTGCATGGGCTTTGGCTGCGTGATACCTACGACGATGACCGACGACCGTTCGGAAGTTCTTTTATAGAGGATTGCGGTGAAGCCCACGAGGCTGTGCTTCTGCAGCTGCTGGTATACGACGAAGAAAGACCCGTGTTTTGCGTCAGGATCCGGCGGTGCCTGAAGTCCAGCATGGTTCCTGACATTTCACCGGCACTACCTGTTCAGTTGCGGCGGCTTTTCACTGATGCCTTGACGTTGCTGTCGTACCATAACGTTTGAAGAAGATGCACAGCACCGTTGTGTTGTGTTGATGCTCGCAAGTACGCTAGGTGAGTGGTTGGTTAGTTGGTTTTGCTTCGGCGTCTAGCCTAGGAAACTTAGGTCGAGTCTTTTTTCCATCTTCCTGCCGGACATGTACTGTCCTAAATTGACATTGGCAGTAATCAGGGTGTCAAGTACGCCGGTAGGAATGGCGCTGGATGTTTGAGTAGCGACGCTGAGAGTAGGCTTCGAGCACAATGTGAGTTCAGTTTCTTGCACATGGAGTTACGGAAAAGGTGGCCGCATCACGGCGCAGCCTGAGAGCATGTTATTCGTTCTTATGATCTGGTATTAGTCCTCCCATGAATGTTTCCATGCTGCACTGTAACCCGCCGTCAGCTTGGCGTTTTGACCCTGCTCCGGATGGAATCGTAAGATCCTCTTCGTGGCACTTGCCTATTTATTCGGCCACTGAAGCAATGTAACAGAGCCACCTCTATTATTACGCACAAACACGCACATATAGAAACATGCGGACGTATCCTGATGGGAGGAGCTGGAATGAAACGGTCTACACAACAACTATCTCTTTCATCCTGCAAGAAAGACATATCTGAGCAGAAGACTCTGGCGACGTTATCCCTCTCGTGCTGTCACTTTCGTTGTACTGCAGTGTCTAGGAAAGGTGAACGGCATCGTTATCCAGTGTTGGTGGTGAACGACGGGAGCATAGGAGGTAGCAGTAGAGGCAGAGCTGTCTTATGGCGATAACTGCTTCAGTAGGCGCGTGTATCTTATAGTAAACGACCCCAGTGACTTTTGTTTCATGGTCGCACGAGTATAGTCCACAGCACTCGCTTCATTAGTTTAGTAAGAGAAACTGCTAACCGGTATATCTCTATTTAATAACCGGTTGCGGTGCCACTACGGGATACTGTAGATGAATAGCTGAGCTCTTAGCGATGTTTCGACTCTGAAATCTTTCTTATCGCTTACTTGTCTGTTAGGTCACTAAGGTAATACAAAGCAGTCAGCTACGCACCCACACGACAGCTTTCTCAGCCCCATAGGGAAAGTATCAAGATGACATGATCTAAAAGAAACGGGGTGTGCTCCTTTTCCCGAAAGCTTTAGAAATCTGCGAAACTCTACTCAGTTCATCAAACGACCTATATAGTAATGCCACTCATCACTATTCACCACTATTGCCACACTACAATATCTAGCATAGATCAACAGCACTGTTACCTAACGCTAACGCAGCATATAGTAAACATTTAGATGTAGACGTTGGGAAGAGTGTTCCAGGAAGTAACGAAGGTGCGGCCATATCAGCTCTTTTTCACAGCGCGGAGTTAACCGATACTCTGTTTATTGTGCGATGATTAATAGAGCTAGCAGACTCGGGACGAGAAGCCAGTTGGCTTAACCGAGGAGGAGCTTGGGGAGCAGGTTAATATATAGTAAGCTCGAGTACTTTGATAATGAGCTTGTAGAGCATCTTGACAGTGGACGTGGGGTATTTGCTAGTAATAAGAATAGTAGGGAGAAGCATAACAAGTAGTACGGAGTAGCATCAGAAGCAATTCCATTCAGTAATTCAAATTTACGGGGGACGGGACACCACTCAGGGGTTCATCTTCTACGGTGATAATAAGTACCTGGCTATAGCATCACAGGTGGGAGCAGTGATGTAGAAAAATAGTTAAAGATGCTTTAGGATTGAGCTTTTGGCGACTAAAGGTATACTGCATCATGTAGATCTCCAGTTCCTTTTCACTGAATTCCGCTTAACAGGGAAGATGTTACTTCTACCAGCACAAACACAGTTCGCCTACCAGGACACGAAGTGACTTATACATTTTAAACAACACAGCTAGTAGCACCCTCGCATCCAAGATAATCTTCACCACCATAGAAAGCAAAGTCGCATAGCTTCAAGTCTCGACACCACATCGTTCATCTGCTACGATCGGCAGCTTCACTCAAGCATCCGCAGAAATCACCCCCGAAGGGAAGACGACAAACATGACAGTCTATACGTGGTTGTGTCAAACCGGCGATGTCTAGTCTAAGACCTAATGTTCAGCCAACCTTCATCACTGTCGCTATACAGCAGTATCCAGCAAAATTGGACAGCATCACCACTTCACACTGACACAGCACAAAACAAACACGTAATACACAGCTCATCAAATTTCTGCCGCTCGATACAGTGACACTACTTCCTGCGTGTGTACCCAGCCCTCTGGGATATTGATGGTAGTGTCCAATTCCGTGGCTCGGAGGCCTCAAGACGACAAACCAAGCGCGCTTCCGCAAGCACCGTACCGAGTCGAGCCTTTATAGTACAGAGGGAGTACGCACAACCCCCTCCACCTTATACTTGTCGGAACCACACAGCCGTGTCTCCTTCTCTTACTGTCACCAACTGCGTCCAACCAGAAATACCGCAAACTCCTTTTCCCCAAAATCATCCACACCAAGCCCCCAGGAAGAAGTGTTTGACGAGCCAACCCCCCCACCCAACATGCATCCACATTTAAACCACACCCCCCACACACCCCCACACTCACCACGACCCACCCAATCACACCCGCCCACCCAAAACGGCACATCGACAAGAGCCCCCCATCCATGGAGTCTTTCGCTCCAAGCAACATCCCGACCCCTACCCCTATCCAGAACTGTGCACGCTCTTATTGGCAGTTACTGTGTCTATTTTCTGTGTGCGGCAGTATGCATAGGTGATAGCTAGCAGCATTATCGCTTAGTGAAGCCGCGCGACATGTACAGACAAAAAAGTAGGAAGAGGGAGAGGGTGGTAGTACTGTCGGGCTCAGAAGCGAGCCGTTTGCAGGGAATGGGAGGAGGGGGACGGCGTCCACGGTTTGTACCTTATGCCGTCATCAGCGTGGAGAAACTCCAGATTTCCTGCACCTGACGGCAGATGGTTGGTTGGTTGGTTGGGGAAAGGATACAGACAGGACAGCAGATCATAAGCAGCTGCAGGGCGGTCTTTTGAGTGGTTGTTTAACACCCACATCCTACACAGACATACACAAACAAACAAACCACACAAACCATCACCGCAAAAATGCACTCCCCGCTCTCATCAACCCATTTACTCACTTACGTAGTACGTATGTACGCACGTACTTAACCCCATCCCAACCCTATAAAATGCACAAGAAAAAGACGCAGAAGTAGCAGCATAGCAGCATAGCAGCATAGCAGCCCACCCAAGCACACGTACCAAACCTCCTACCCACCGACCCAAGCCAACCCCACCCAACCCAACCATAAACGCCCCAGCGCAAAGAAACGACGCTTGATTTGCGCGGCTGAAAGGAAAGAGAATGAAAAAACGAGAAAGAAAGAAAAAGAGAGGGAAAAAGAGGGGAAGGATATAAGAAAGAAAAGGAGAACAAGAAAACAACACCGCAACTGCCAGCTAGACCCGCTCAATCAGAGCCAACCTAGTCGAGAGAGTATCAACACCACCCAACACCGTTCCATTTTCCCATCCATCCATAACAAAGCAGGCAGGCAGACAGGCAAGCAGGCACACCGTCCTATTAACGCCAAGCGGACTGCACTCTCCAACCCCCTCACACAAGTCCTACCTAGCGGACACCCCACCCAGCCGGGGCGCTCAAGTCCCTCCTCCCCAAAACCCTCGACTCACTCCTGACACCAGCAGCACCAACACCAACACCTCCTCCTCCACCCCCAACAACCGCACTGCCACCAATTGCGCTGCAATACTCACCCAGCACCGGGCGTCTCGGCGTCGCCAAGCCCGCAGCCACGCTGCGCGCGCGCCCGCGCCTTAGTCTGATCTGCTCGAGCGCGGCGGCGCGGTCGATGGGCAGGGCGCCCCAGGGCGAGGCCGCCTCGACGTGAGCCGCTGCCGCGTGCTGCGGCGTGACGGCAGCGGTGGCGGCAGTGCGTGTAGGAGTCAAGACGGAGAGGGAGGGCAGGCGCGGAGCCGGCAGCAGGGAGGTGGGCGTGCCGGGGGCGGGGGTAGTAGTGGTGGCGGCGTAGGGCTTGGGCGAGTCGAAGTGCATGGGCACCGTAGTCGTGGTTGTGACGGTGCGGCGGATCAGGCGGTCGTGGTGGCTGGAGCCGGGGCGGTGGGAGCTGTGTCCGTGTCCGTGATGGTGGTCGTGGTGGGCTGGCGTGGTAGTATGATGAGTGGGCTGCGTAGGAGGTGGTGGTGGGGGCGTGCGGGGCGGGGAGGGGGGACCAACTGTTGTGCTGTTGTCCCCGGCGGCGGCTTTGTTGGCGGCAGCCGGGGCATCGTCCGGAACGGACGGGGTGGGCGAGAGCGGCGCCGCGGGCTGCTGCTGCTGCTGCGCTGGCTGCGCCTCTGCAGGCGCATCGACAGCCATCTCCTCTCCCTTGACTGGTTCGAGAGCTTCGGCCATGACCGAGTCAACGAGTTGCTCAGCCTCAGCCTTCGGCTTCATGGGGCTGGGCACACTGCGGAAAGTGCCCGAGGTCGGGCTGAAGGTGAGCTGGAGCGCCTCTTCTTCCTTCTGCTCGGCCGTCTTCTCCGCTGCAGATGGCGTCGCTGGCCTCTCGAGTTGGACCGCGGGCGCCTTGACGTCCTCCACGTCGCCATCGCTGGCCGGAGGCGTCGTCGGCAGCGATGACCAAATGCGTTGCATCTCCTTCTCAAAGCTGTCGTCATGAACGTAGCTGTCGCCCTTCAGCTCAGCCACGCGGCACGAGCAGCATTGGAACTGGCACTCCATCTTCATAAATTCGATCGTGTCCTCTGCGCGCTGGCGACGGGTCCGCTCCGCGTCGAGGTCCTCGTTCAACGTCTTCATCTCCATGTCATGGGCCGGCACCTCAACGTTCTCCTTGTCCGAGCTCGACGTCTCAGTGCGGACCTTCGTCGGCGACTTCTTCGGGCTTCCAAACTCCTCGTCAAACTCGTCGGAGGGAGGAAGCGCAATTTGGCCTTCAGCCGCGATTCTGGCAACTTCCTCCTCCTTCAAGCTGGTCTTGAGCGCGTCGCGCTCTTGCTCGACGACGTTGACCAGTTCCCGTGCCTTCTTCAGCTCTTCTTGCATGCTGATGAGCTGGCATTGTGCCTGGAAGCTTTCTTGTTCCCGCTTGTTGGACTTCATCTTTTCAGACTCGAAGCCGGCTTGTGTGATTCGGAGGGAGTTGCGAGTAGCCTTGAGTTCTTCTTGAAGCTTGACGAGCATCGACGACGACTTAAATGCCTCTTTGCGTGCCTTGCGGATTTCCTTTTCGTACAGACCCTGCGTGTGGACGTGGGTCTCCTTTGCGCGGTGCAAGTCCTCCTGCACATAGTTAGCGGTAATTCGCGGGGAAGGGCTGCATGGGTCCTTTGCTCACCATAACGGCGTCGAGCCTCTTTGCGACCTTCTTCTCGCGCTCACGGCCCTCTTCGATGTCTTTCCTGGATTTCCGCGCCTCCTCTCTGTACCTCCTTGCCTGGCTCTCGGCCTCGTCCTTTTCCTCCTTGAGCTTCTTGGAGTCGAGCTCGGCCATTTCGCGCGCCATCTCGGCTCTCTTGATGGCGACTTCGTCGCGCCTGTGCAGCTCCTTGGGGTCACGGACATCCATCGAGTTGAAGCGGGCGACCATACCCTGGACGTGATCGGAGCCGCTCCTGCTGTGGACAGACCTGGCGGGTGAGCCCAGCTTCGGCGAGGCGACGTCTTGTTGTGGGCTGGTGCAGATGTTGTAGGGCGTGCGGATGCCGTTGACGCGCTCAGGCGACATGGTGTACAGAGGGGCGCCCGGCGAGGCAGGCATATTTTCGGTGGGAGTTTCCATTGAGTGAGGCAATGGGTGGGTGTGGACTTGGCGGAGTTGACGTCGTTGGTGGAGGAGGAGACTGTCGGGATTTGTGCGAAGGCGGGTTATGGTGTTTGGCGGCGTGGGCGGCATTGCCCGGGCAACGGCCGTTTTAACGGGAGCGGCTGACGTTTTGGCGATGCGTTGGCGCTGCAGGGCCAGAAACGCAGCGCGTAGGGAGAGAAACGACAGGCTCAGAGAAAGCCAGCTGGAGGACACTTTTTACCCGCCATGCAAAGAGTAATACCTGTTAATCACTTCGCTGCTGCTGCATATGTGCTCGTCGCACAAGGCCGCTGCAACCACTGATGGCGCTCCACGCCCGCCGTACAGCTCTACGGCGAGCGCCATGACCAACTTCCGCGTCCAGCAAAAAATTACCCGCTGCATCCTCTGCCACATCCCCCGCCATGTCGCTTTATTATGAGGCCGCCGCCTTTCTGGAAAATGCCGACAACGTGGGCGGCTCGTTGACGTCGCGCATCTATGGCAAAAAAGGCCTGAAGAGCCGTCCGGCCGCCATCTACGCTCTCATCACTGAAGCCACAAAATGGTCGGCCGCCCTGAAAGACGTGGTAGAGAGAAGTGATGTTCTGAAGCTGGAGAGGAAGGTTTGTGATTTCTACTGTCTTATGTTTTCAACTTTCATTCCAAGTCCACGCGCTTTCTCGCATTTTTATTCCCTCTACAAACCCTGACACGGCCTCCCAGCTCACTCCGCTCCTCGCAACACTCCTAACACATGACCTTCTGCTCTCCAAAGGCGGCGTCGCCGCACCAGCGAACCATCCGCTGCGCCTCGCCATAACACGGCACAAGGCGCGCCTCGGCGCGGAGCTGACCAAGCTGCGCGTCAAGCGGGGCTTCAGCAGCATCGACGCCTTCCGGCAGTACGTGAACGCGCACTCAGGCTCAGCCGAGGACGCGCCCGGCACGGCCAAGGAGCCCGAGCACCCGCGTTGGGTGCGCGTCAACGCGGTGCGCACGACGCTGGCGAAGCAGCTGCACGGCACCTTTGCCGAGTGGAAGCAGGACGCCAGCCTCGCGGATGTCATGGCCGCGAAGGCCGGCGCCAGAGTGCTGCATCTCGACGCGCATATCCCGGACTTGCTTGCCCTGCCGCCGCGGACCGATCTGTCCAAGTCTCCGGCATACCGTGCTGGCGAGCTCATCATCCAGGACAAGGCGTCTTGCTTCCCGGCGTACCTGCTCAATGTGCAGCCCGGCGATGGAGATGTCATTGACGGCTGCGCCGCGCCGGGCAACAAGACGACGCATCTGGCGGCGATTGTGAGCAAGTTCGGCAAAAAGCAGCAAAAGCAGCAGCAGCAGCAGCAGCGCATCTGGGCGTGCGAGCGCGACAAGCGCCGCTCAGGCATCCTGGAGAAGATGGTGCAGCTCGCGGGCGCCGATAAACTCATCGCCATCAAAGCCAGCCAAGACTTCATGGACCTGAATCCCAAAGACGAGGCGGTCAGCGCCGTCGGCGCCATTCTGCTCGACCCCAGCTGCTCGGGCAGCGGCATCGTCGGCCGCGACGACGACGTCAAGCTCGTGCTGCCGAGCGCTAGTACAAACAACAGCAGCAACGGCCACGCAAACGCACGCGGCAAGAAGCGCAAGCGCAACCAGTCCCAGACTCAGGCGCAAGTCCAGGACCAACCCACCACGACCATCACCGCAGACGAGCCCGCCCTCCCCCTCGAGGAAGAAGAAACGCCCGACGACGCCGCCGGCTCCTCCTCCGACGCACAGCACCACGCGCGCCTCATCAGCCTCGCCTCCTTCCAGCTCAAGATCCTCCTGCACGCAATGCGCTTCCCCGCGGCGCGCAAGCTCACGTACTCGACGTGCAGCATCCACGGGATCGAGAACGAGGGCGTCGTGCTGAGCGCGCTGCGCTCGGGCGTAGCGCTGAAGCGGGGCTGGCGGCTGCTGAGAAGGGAGGAGCAGGTTGAGGGGATGCGCGCGTGGGGCGTTAGGGGCGAGCGAGGCGCTTGTGAGGAGTGGGTGGAAAGGGAGGGGGAGGGTGTGGCGTTGGGGGAGGTCGAGGGGAGGGATGTCGCGGACGCGTGCTTGAGGTGTCGCAAGGGGACGGAGGAGGGGACGATGGGCTTTTTCGTTGCGGCGTTTGTGAGGGAGGGGGAGGATGGGGATGCTGAGGGAGAGGGAGAGAGAGAGGGAGGAGAAGACGAAGGCGACGAGGACGAGGACGAGTGGAGCGGCTTCAGCGATGGTGATTGAATGAGTGGTCACTCACTGTCTGTATCTTCACCACTTTTCCACCACAATCCCACCACAAGCACACGTCAAACCCCTCAATCAATCAACCCCTCAATCAGTCAATCACAGACACACACAAACCGCAACCACTCTTACCCATCTAGCCAACACAGTGAGTGCAGTCGACGTCAAACATTGAGCATTTCCAGGGACAGGGGGGGGGTTCGGGAAGGATTTCGAAATTCACGGGGGCCCCTGTTCGATGTTGTGGCGGAATGGCGCTAGGGCTTTTGGGCTAGCGTGGTGGGGTGTGGGGGGCCTAGGGTTTGGAGGGTCTGACATGACAGTGACATCTGCCATATCGCGGATACCTTAGGTAGGTAGTGGAGTAGACGGATAAATGGAGAGAGGATACGGGGCTGGCGCGAGAGAGATGTGTAGGTAGGTGCGTGTGTGCGTGCGTGCGTGCGGGCTCGAGCTGCGTAGACCCTACGGTGGTGGTGGTGAGGCAAGTGAGGCGGGTGCGCCCGTCGACCTTTGACTGTTGGCATCGACGTTGGAGGTTGAGCTCTGTGCCGCTAGTCGTATCGGGCAAGCGAAAAAGGGCGCGCAACATTGGACGTCGGAGAGGATTGCCTGCCAGGGCCTTCCTTTTCTTTGTTGCGCGGTGGACGGGACGCGTGGGTCTGTGCTGGAGAGGAAAACAGAGGAGCACAGAGTACGAGACGCTGGCATGTAGGCGACGTACAGTATGCACGTCGCGTATGACGCGAGCGCGACAGAGCGAGACAGATAGCAAAGAGAGATGGAGGTTTGCAAAGCATGTCCTGTCCTATCCTCTGCACATCCCAGGCCAGACAAGAAAGGAAGGACAGCCGAATCCAGAAAGCGGTGACCCGCAAACGCGCTAAGCGAAAACGGCAAGTGGCAGAACCGCGCCAACGTCGGACGTAGTGCCTGAGAGTTATATCTCTTTTCTTGGCGTTATGGAACTCTCGCGCTGTTCTGTTGTATAACACCCCCCTGGTCGTGGACGAACGGCCTGACGGACGGGGTCTTTTTCGCAACCACCACGCAACCAGCACGCAACCGTGACGGGAAAGAGCGATGTATATATAGATTATGCTATTGGTGTTTAGTTCATTGCATAAAATGCTCGTAGATGCTGTTTAGTATGCTGAATTTGTCGTTTTCGCGTCGCGGTATTGAAGTCGCGTGCGTAATAGATAGCTTCTCGACACTTGCATTGCATAGTAACATCGGCCAATCAATATCGATATGGCAAGAAGCAAAACCGAATGGAGAAATGTATTAGCACGCCTTCTCGTAGCGCGCCTGTCCTATGCATGATGTATCCACAGGAAAAGCCAGCGGCTGTCTACCTACGCGTACCCAGGCATGAGCCCCATCCGCCGCAATCCATGGACAACGGCATCATTCATCCTCATCTATCTCTACGTCCAGCTACCTACTGCTGCTTCTGCTGCTGCTGCTGCTCCTTCTCCTTCCCCTCCTTCTCCCGCTGCTGTCTCCTCTCAGCCTTCTGCTCCCTCAAACCCTTCCCCTTCCCCGCGCCCTCCTTCTCCGCCCTCTCCTTCCTCTCCTTCTCCTTCTTAACCCTCTTCTCCTTCTGCCTGACCCCATCCTTCTCCGCCTTATTCTTCTTCTCCTCGCCATCGCTCCCAGCCTCGCTCCCCCCCAACTCCAGCACCTTCTCAACCTGCAGCAGCGCCTGCACCGCCGGCACGAACTTCTCCAGCTCCGCAAACTCGCCCACCTTGACGCGCATATAGTCCGCCGCGACGCCCACGCGCATGTCGCTGCGGGCACGGATGCGCGTCTCAAGCGCCGTGGACGCCTCGGTGCGCAAGCCCGGCGCCAGCACCGCCGGCGCCGGCGGGCCCAACGGGTCCTCTAGCGGCGCGTCCGCTCCTCCTGCCGCAACAGCCGCTGAGGCTTCCTCCTCGGCGGCCACCGCCGCGCTGTCATCCTCCATGGCACTCGCCTCCTCGCCGTCCACGTCCATTGCGTCCTCCTCCGGCGCGCTGGTCGCGAGGCTCTCCGCCCCCGGAGCGGCGTTGGCCTCGTCCTCTGGCTCGATGTCCTCGCGCTCAATCACCGGAATCGACTGGTACCGCTGACTGAAGTGCGTGAGCAGCGTCATGCGAGCGCGCATGCGCGCGCCGATCCCCAGCGCCTCCGACGTCGTGCTGTGCTTTTTGGCGACGGCGTTGCCGGCCATGTCGTCCTCGAACGTGGCTTCGTGGATGAGGACGGTCGAGTTAGAGCCGATGCGCGCAAACGACAGGCACGGTCGGCAGTCACCGCTGTACGACACCTTGAAGGGGTAGCTGGTGTCGTCGGTGGGGTCGGTGCGCGTCGCATCGGGCCAGGTCAGCGACACGGCGCGCGCGCCGAAGCAGTGGTTCACGAACACGGCTTGCATATCTTGCAGGCCGAGCAGCGCGGGGTAGAGCTCCTTGGGCAAGGTGACCGACTCTTGTTTCTCAACGGGCGCGAAATACGGCGGCGGCGTCAATTCCAGCTGCGACTCCGCGAGCTTAGATTTTTGGTTTACCGTGGCCGCCAGCGGCCACAGACGACTGTAGCCAAAGTCTTCGACATTCCTGTACTCGGCGAGCCAGCCGAGAAGGTGCTCACTCGAAATAACAGCCAATCGCTTGGACTGGGACGCTAAATCGGGATTCTCCTCAATGGCGGCCAGTGCGGACAACGCGTCTTCCGTAGCAGGTTGGCTGTTGTGAGCGATACGGTACCACTCCCGTATCACGGCAACGGTGCCGAGGATGTGATCCGCGTGCATGTGGCTGATCCAGATAACCCGCAGTTCCTTCATGATCTCGTTGAGCTCGGCAGGCTCGAAGACACGCCGCAGTTGCCCGAGTGTGCCTTCACCAGCATCAAGCAGGTAAGAGCCATAGCCCGGGACCCGGACCAGAGTTGCGGAGACGTTGCGGTATTTGGATGGCAGTGCGGAACCGGTGCCCAGTGCGATGATCTCTGCGTCTTTCATAGGCAGCTTGCGTTGGAACTTCTCAAACTCGCTGGCAGAGTTCTTGATTGTTTCCTTGACCTGCTTAGCTTTCTCAAGGACGTCCTCGGACACCTCCTTGATGACCTCTTCAGCGTTGAACATCGGCACAGTATCCTTGCTGTGCACTTCGAACTTCGGCTCCAGCGTGATGACCTGTCCTCTCTCGGCAGGCACTGCGTGCTTCGGCAGTTGAACCGGTTGGCTGCCAGCAGTGGCATGGCCATCCTGAGGCGTGGTCGTGTTGTCATAAACCAGGGTGCCAAATCTCTTCGAGTCCACCTGGCTCAGTCGCAATGTGGCGCCCATGGCACTGTCATAGGTAACACGGTTCGGGCAGACGTCGACGGAAGAGACAATGTGCCTCATGTGGCTGCGTTCTGCCATGAAAGCCTTCAACCGCTCATCAGCAGCAACACCGGGCCCCAGCATCCACACGAATGCCTCTACACCGTCCATTATGTCCTTGCTCTTCCACTCTTCACGATTGACTAGCCCTTCTACATATTCCGTAGTCGGCAAGTCAATGATAGCAACACCTCTGCCCTGTCGCGGCTCTCCGAGGACCATCTCGGGAGTGATGGTTTCGCCGTCCTCGTTCTGCACATCACTACCATTTTGCAGCGTCCCCCAATTCGATCCCTTCGGGACTTTGTGGGCAATAGCTTTTTTCACATCAAACTTGCCGCGCTGTTTATGGTTCCGGATGATGTACGAGATAGCTTGCGGAGCAGGCTCCGTCGGAGGCAGTGCCACGAGCTTTGCTCCTGGCCAAGGCGTGCGGACGAGGACCGGCTTGTTAGGCATCGTGGGGTCGGGAACTGGACCGGTGTATTTTTCAATTTCCTTGGTTATCGAGTTGCGCCGGAAGATGGTTGCAGGAAGCTCGACTTCGCACAGAGGCTTTTCGACGAGAGCGTCCAGCCGCCAGTCGGAGTTGAACATTTCACCGACGACCGAGCGCGCCATTTGCTCATATCTGAGGGCTGTCTCCTCGGGGGTCTCCTTTGACGTTCCCTCCGCTGATTCTACACCGTTCAGCTCATCATAACTACGCTTTCTTGATTTCGTACCTGTCGTCGACCGTTTTGACTCGAAGCCGGAAGGCGAAATTGCCATGGCCCAGACATTCGTGTTCAAATCCACAAATATGGGCGACGGGTCACCATTTTCATCTCTTTTCCGATTCTCATCTTTGACATCGACCGCCTCGATCGGCATGCCCTTCCTGAACACGAAACGCCTACATGCCGCAACCGTGTAGTTCAAGTTGGGCGGCCCGAATAGAGTCAGAGTCTTCTTTTCTTCCTGGACTCCCCAACGGTCCTTGCGCGTCGTGGTGCTGTTCATCGTAGCATCCGCTACCGTCAGCATCATGCCAATCAGACCGCCAGTGTTGGCCCACTCGGAGCGGCCAGTGATGAAGATTTCATGCATCTTGAGCATGCGTGAGCCCATCTCATTCATCATGCGCTGAGTGCCCTCCCCAATACTGCCAAACAAGTACCGCTTGTCGTCGAAGTGGAGCATCAGAGTTGTGCCCCCCTTGTCCGCCGTCGGCGTGTTCATAATCTGGATGAACGACTTCATCCTGGGCGACAAGTAATCTTTGCCTAATATCGTGGTATACGCTCCGTTTCGTGCCGTATTAACTGTAACCTCGGTGCCTCGCAAGTCGTGCTCGGGGTTAGACCATGGCTTGTCCGGATAGATTATGTGGTGTCTTGTGTTTCTGGAGTTGTAGGAATAGGCGAGCTTGGGGCTCTCGTAGACTTTATCCAGACCTAGGCCCTCGGCGCCGCGCGATTGTTCTTCAAAGGGTCGCTCTTGTCCGTACGTGCGAAATGGCGAGGGCAACGCGGGCGTCTCCTTGCTTTTAGCTTTCTGTTCGAGATGCGAGTCAAGGATCGACTTGAGTGAGTCAAGGACAGAAACAGAGGAGCGATCCGATCCAGAAGCCCGGCGACAGGCGGCGATGTTGAATGCAGACACCGGCGGCAGCCTGCGCGGTAGGAATGAGTGCGCCAAAAGGCAATTCGTGACGGTCGTAATGCGTCGGGCGGACGCTCGATGAGGAGCCACTCTGAAGACAGTGGGTCGCAAATCTTCCAGGTATCCAGCCTTTGGGTAAGAGAGCGGCGGAACGTTGGTGAAGGCTTCAGTTGCGCCGGTGAGCTTGATGTGGAAAAAAGTCGATTGGCGTGCCTGAGCGGCGGCTGCGTCATGGAACTTTTCCGAGGTCGCGCGTTTGACTCAGCACAACCAATGAACAGGGGAAAGGGTCTTTGATTTTATCTCTACAACATTCAAGCTATTTGATATAGCTATCTTCCTAATAATAGGATATTTCTCTTCCTCTATATAAGCTCTATATCCTCGATATGGTCCGTGTAAGAATAAGTCTCTAATGACTAAACCCTAGATATGGAGCACTTCGATTATGGTACAGTACTACCCAAATATACATTTAAAGTCTGAGTAAAGGCTTTTTTCTCCATTAACAAGATTACCATTAACGCTAGTCACAAAATCAGACCATCTTGTCTCGCAGACCACCAAGTAAAGATTGTTTTCGCAAGCGGAGTAGGTATTCGCCGAACAACAATCAGATATCGTAGGCTCCCATAGCTCGACAAACAATAACGAGTTCTAAACGGGTTTACTGAAATGTTCATACATGTAGTGACGCCACTTGACATGGCCTGATGCAGCCTCTTCATTGAATCCAATACACCATCTCTTTCCATTTACAGACATTGTATTTTAACTAAATGGATACCGGTGTTTTTCTTTGATATCATTTTCTCGCGCTTCGAGACTCCAGTTCCAGACCATCCCAGCAACTCAGCCTTCACTGAGCACGGAGAACCCCATTTCCCGTCCATAGCATCTGCACATGAGGCTATAAGGTGTTAGATCCTTTCCCAAAGCGTTGCCAGTAGTCACCGAACAAACATCCAACTTCTTTGCTTATTGTCCACCTTCTCCAGCACGTGTCAGGAAAGGAAGAGTCTGACTTTTTTACAGGCCTTGTATTTCTCCCAGCCGGCTTGTACTGTAGTCTTTAAAGAAGTATACAACAGATACGCTTAAGACTTACTCCCTAAATAGGAGAATGGTAGTAGGCAAAAGGAAAGTAAGATATACATAAAAAAGAAAAACCAAACACCACACATCGAGGTAATGACCATAAATCAACAAAGACCTAGAAGCAAAAAGAGAAGCCGATTCCAAGCCTACCTACCGTACCTAGAGCAGAAGCATCCGTCACAGAAAGCTAAGTCTTCTGCCTGCCGAGACTGCCACTCGGACGGCTCCCCGCAAGCCGAACCCTACTTACCTTCATCAACCTACCTAGAGCTCGGTGAGTGGTTTACTGAACAGAAAGAAGACGGTCGTTCTCTAAGAAGCTCGTCACTCCGCAAAAAGCAGGGCACTTGTCTTACCGTCTCACTCACCTCGACACTTGCAGACCAGACCAGCCCACGTGAGCAAGCACACAGAGCAGCATCCTTACCTACACAACATCTCCTTCCCCAAACCGACGCCCCGGCACCCTACCTACCTACCTTAGCACCAACCCAGCGCACCGCACTAACCCGCGCCACCATCCGCATCAGCATCCAGCGCACCCCGCCACACGCCACGCCAACATCCCCATAATCTAACCCCACCAAACCCGCCCCACCTACCCTACCCTCCAATTCCAGCAGCAGCAGCAGCACCTCTACGAACTCCTTCAACACAGCCACCCCCAAGCCACCCTCAGTTTCAGATCCAGAAACGGCCCAGCCCAAGCCCAAGCCCACCGCAGCACCGCAGCACCTCCCCCCTCCCCAAATACACTAACCCACCCCGCCAGACAGGACGCTTAACAAGCAGCCGCACGCCTCATTGCGGCCCCCCACGCATAACGCGCGCGGGCGCGCCTCCTTACCTAGTCCTACCACGTATGTACCACGTCCCTATCTATCTACCTAGATACCTCGGCACGCACACAGGCACGCCCTCCTCCAGCTCGGCTCGGCTGAGCCTGATGACTGATCGCAACCGCAAGCGCAAGCCGCAAGCCGTTCCGCCGGGCCGCCGCCGCGCACAACGCAGCGCGGCGTAGCTACCTACCTATGTACCACGTCTTGAGGCACGGCGACCATGAGCACGATCAGTTCAGGTCAGCTCAATCAGGTAAGCAGACAGGCAGCCCGGCGGCCCCGGGGCGCAGTTCCTGCCGTTTCGAGCGCGGCGAGCGCGCGCGTCTGTATCGTACGTACCTAGGAGTAGTACCGTAGGTACAATACGTGGACGCGGCACCCACCGGCCGGGGGGAGGCGTGCGTGTTGCGTGCGTGCGTGTGTGCCTGGATCTGGGAGTCTGGGCGTCTGTGTCGGGGCAGGGTCGTCGTCGTCGCCGCCGCCGCCGCCGTCCGTCGTCCGTGCTACAGAGCTCGCCCGCGCTGCCGAAGCCGACGTTGATGCGTGCGGTGCCAGAGCCAGAGCCAGAGCCAGAGCCATGCCCGCCGCCTGTGCCTGTGCCTGTGCCTGGCCCCGTGCCGCCACGTTTTCTGACGCAGCCCGCAGCCCGCAGCGGGGTACGAATAACTATGCCGAAGCGTGCTTGGTGCAGGCGGCGGTGCGTGGTGGGCCGGGCGTGTTTGGAAGCAAGCAAGCGAGCGAGCGCGCAAGAGCGGACGGACGGACGCTCTGGCTACCATTATGCTGCTGTGCGCACCGCCGCCCGGCCACGGCCGCGGCCGCGGCACCGTGCTTGCTTGCCGGTGCCCAGTGCCGGTGCCGGTGGCCTGCGTGCCTGTGTGCCTAGTTAGTGCCTGTGTGTCTGGTCGTGGCCCGGTGGGCGTGGCCCTTTGCTGCCACGCCGCCGCACGTTGCTGCCGATCTGGGTCTGTGTCGTGATGCGCCTCGGCGCACGTGTCAAGAGTTCGGACGGCCTGACGGACGCTCGGAGTCGGCGCTCGCGAGGCCGTAGGTAGGCCGTTGCAAGCCCGGAAGCGGTGGAACCTACCGTGCCTACCTATGGGCAACAACGGGGTACAAATACAAATTCTCTTTTACTCGAGTGTGGAAACGATTGAAAGGATGACGGAAACAGGATAGAGATAGAGTACAATAGGCGGGATAGGGTTAGCAGTCCTATTTACCTACTTACTATGTATAGACGTTTCGTTTAGGGCCCGTGTAGTGCTTACATACCTACAGCTAATAGCGCGGAGCCGGGGCGTCGCCAAAGCCTGCCTGTTTAAGATGGCTCTCCGCCTACGTCGTAGTACGGGTGAGACAAGTTTCAGCTGCTCGAACAACAGATCCGCGCGATTGAGCTGCTCGAGCGGGAGAAGCGAGACATGCAGCAGGCGGGGCGGGACGTCCAGCGCGCAAACAGGGCGTCGTCCATCACTCGACGAAACATGCGGCGGCGGCAGCGCTGATTCGCCAATCTATAGTTCCTGCATCCAGGCGTGCGCATCGACTTAAGAGCGAGCGAGTTCCGTCCAAGCAAGATCCGAGAACCTACCTAGGCGGCGGCATTAGTCGCTGCGGGCGGGCTGGCTGCCTTGAGCGCAAGCGATTCCTTCGAAGCAAGTCAAGCAAGCAAGCAGCAACAACGACCTCTGAGGGCGGAGCTTTGAAGTTTCATTAGACCCGTTCCCTTATGCCGGTCCACCCCGCTGCTGAACGTGGGCTCTGCTCCGACAAGCCACGTGCAGAACGCGGCGGCGACCGTGATCTCCGAGTGGCTGGAAACGTCGCGCTTTGAAGCGAGTCATGAAGATCGAAACGAGACGAGACGAGAAGAAGAAGACTTGAAGATGAAGATCAGTTCTCGTAAAATAGCCGAGCCTAATTCGCTTCTAGAAACGTTGTACGCATTGACTTGACGTCGAGGTGCAGAGCCCGTTGTGAGAGTGATGGAAATCAATGCTACCTACTGCAGCGGCGACGGCGGTCCGGCTCGACTCCTCACAGACAAAACGCCCGGATGTTCTCCACCATCTGTGCCAGGCGAAGCTCCTGCCCGGCATAATGGTGGAGTTGCGGGACAAGTGGGGTGCGTTGGTTTACCCGGGCCACGAATGTCCGAAGTGAGCTTTGTATTCTTGAGGCCGGCTTGTTGCAGCAAAAGGGAAAAGGTCTTCCGAAGTGCTGATCCGACGGTCTTACAAACTGCAAGCTGAGATTGCTCGATTAACTACTACGGAAAAAGTCGTTCGGCAGTAGAGACGGTGCCGAAAAATCAATGCTTTATCGAGCAAGGAGGAATGAGACCTGTCATTCTTTATCCAAGCGGAAATCGCGCGTCCTGAAGCCAGGAGACTTTGTGTGATGAGTCGATAATATTTACGTGCCAGGTACCTACAGCACCCCGGCGTAGCCGATGTTTGGCGTAAACATCCCACAAGGGTGTGTTTCTGTGTTACCAGAGCCCGGCCGTCAATAGGCAACGATGCATACCAAGATCAACGCTTGCCGTAGAGCGTTCAAAGCTCCCCGCGCAGTGCTTCTATGCATATGCATACCTTTACGTCAGCCGCAGGATGTGGATGAGCGTCGTACTGAGGAGGGGGGAAGTGACGACCCGGGCTCGCACACGGGAGATGGCATGCAGTATCGTCCAAAGGCCGCCAATGGAGCCAGCTACGTGATACTAGAGCCAGGCCTTTCGACGGGCGCAGCAGAAGCAAATGCAGTGAGAGTGCGTGCACGGGACACTCTACTGCGGGTACTGCCACTGCAGGCGATATATCAAACGCTTTAGCGCATACAGTCGACGGGGCAAATGGAAATGATGTCGGGCAGGGAAAACAGGCAGCGGCATCTTATCCATGCAATGTGAGGGGCCGCGTGAGCCGGGTGCATGCCTCAGACATGGTGCACGAAGCCGCTCACAGGATACGTACAGATGTTGTTGATGAGAGCGCGTACAAACAGTACCGTTCACCCGCCGTCCGTAGACAGTTGGCTGCAAGGGCGCGTAGAGCACGGCCTTTGGGACGTTGGACACCGTCTCGAGCATCCTTTCTCTTCTGGACTAGCACGACCCTGGTCGGAGGATGCCGGGCCCGCATACTAGCCCTACGTGGTAGGCGACGTCGATGGTGGAGTATCGGATGGGAGCTGCAACGGGCACAGGAGGGAAAAACATGGCCCCTAGCAACCGTGCGGCTGTGGAGCAAACGCAAACAAAGGCCGGAGCCCGCGTCGGCGGAGACGAGCGAAATGGTGTGCAGCAGTTCGGCATGATCGGGAGAGGGTGGAGCCTGTCTAGGCCCGGCCGAGTGCGAAAGAAGACGAGCATGGTTCCAGCCGGCTGCCAACATGGCAGCGTGGAGACGGACGACAATGCTGAGGTTTTGTCTTGAGTGCAGGCCCCACGCGCAGCTCGCAGGGAAATAAGGAAAAAAGCCTCGTTCCCTTTGCCCGCAGCATGCATGTCGTCGTCGCAGAAGTGCGGGACCGTGTTTCTAACAATAAGCAGATGACGCCTCTTCAGCCCGGTCGAGAAAGAAAAAAAAATAATGGAGGGAAAAAGCAACGGCCGCATCGGTCCCACGGGCCCTGGGGAGGTCAGTGAGCGTCCTGTGCAGCAACAAAGGGAAAAAGCAATGCGGTTGCGGTGGTGGTTGCGCAGGCTCAGCAAAGGATTGGCGCAAGGGGGACGAGTGGGCGGGCGCGAATCTCCAGGGCCCTGGAGGTGGAACTGCTGCCAAGTGCTTTTTTTCACCTGCCCTCTCGTTGGCTGCCCAGCCGACGTCACGAGGATCCTGAAACTCCGCGCAACAACAAAAAAACAGGAATCGCCAAATGCAAAAAAAAAGAAAAAAAGTTTAAAAAAGGAAAAAATTAAAAACCCTTCTGCTCATGAGGCTGAGCGAGGCGTTCAGGATCGTCCGTGGTCCCTGTCGGCGCCAGCGCACCCGCCCGTGCGTGCGCCTCGGCCGCCCAACGTGAGAGGTTGGACGTGATTCTTCACGGAAGCAGCGGGTACAGCCATCATCGCACCAACTTTGGGCCGTTCTCCGGCTCTCTTTCTCTCTCTCTTCCTACTATACACGTAGCTCGTCTCGCGTCCCATTACCCTGATTCCCATTCCTCCGCTTGCTGCCCAACCCCAATCTCCGCCACTACGGCCACCCGCCGTTGTGCCTCTAGATCCGACATGACAAAGAAATCCAACTTCTCCTCCCGCCTGCCTGCGGGCAAGGAACCAAGATTGTGCTCGCCAGCTGGCATCCGTGACAGTCCAGCCCCTTCCGACTCACCATCGCTCCACCCTTGCCGACGTGCTGCGCCCGAGACCCGTGCCAGCCCGTTTCTCGGGACATCGCACATCAACCCTAGCGCCACGCTGGAACGATGCTCAATGTTTATACAGTGGAAAGGAAAGGGAAAAACGCCGTAAACACCCACGCATCATGCGCCCCCACGCCGTCTCGTGACACGGCTCGGGGGAAACAGGAAAAGAGACGATCGGCGGCAGAAAAAGATCATCGCGAGGCTGAAGGATGCGGAGATCCCGACCCCCGCAGACTGAACGTGCTGACAAGTAAAAATGAAAAACAAGTGCGAGCACCTTGGGCATACAAGTAAAAATCAGGGAATAATCGCGTTCTTCGTATCCGGACATTATAGCGTGGAGATCTCCGTGACATTATCGCCTTCTCGCCGTCGAAGGCAGCGGCGCTCGCTGTGCGCCGCCGGCACCTGTGTGTTCCTCCATAAGATCGAGGCACGTAGTAAGAACTGGGATGCGTCAGTTGGGCCGACATTCACGCACTGTCTCGGAGGGAAGAGGGGGGGGAGGGGCGCTTACTCGATACAATCTCTTCCTCCCACACTCCCATCTGATAGTCCACAAGGCCGTGCTTTTCCATGTTGTCGCAGAGATGGACGAGATCTTTGCCCATGCTCTCCATGAAATCGTATTCCATAAGACTGCAAGGAGACGGAGGCGGCTGCCCCGACTCGGCCGTCTCCTGCAGCATGTCCTTTTGCTTCTGTAATATGGAGAGCCAACAAGTGTTGAACTCCTCCCAGAGCTTCAGGCGCTCGGAGTGCATGGCTGCGTCGTCGCGGACTAGACCTATTGTCAATTCAGCTGCCCCGCCCTGCAGAAAAGGCGCCGTCTCTGCGAACTTACCCAAGGCCTCGGCGTTCCCGAGCAACCACTCCGTGATTCTCATCAAGCTCGTTCCCCCCTCCGCCAGGCGCCCGTCGTGAATGTAGCCAAAGGTCCTCTTGAGCTGAGTCTGGTATTCGGCATAAGCACTGTCGTAGTCAGCCGCGCCTTGTTGCGCCGCGTAGTTCGCTTGGGGGTATGCTCCATGCGAGCCGCCCTGCGTTGGGTCACTCATTCCAGCGGCATAAGCGGGAGCGAGAACGTCCCGTCCGACGGGGCTTTGCGTTGTATAAGAGAGGGATGGATACTGTGAGGGCACGCTCTGCGACGCCGCCATTCCAGCCGGGGGCGCGCTAGTCGGGCCACTTTCGCCTGGCACATAATAGCTCTGTGGCACCCCAAACTGGTTTGACAAGACCTCTATTGCTGCAGACTGCCGCTGTTGGTACGGTTGCACAGACTCATAGGGGGACTGCGGAGCCGCCTGCTGCTGCGCCGGTACATTGTACATCATCGTGGGCGGGTACTGCGAGTATTGCTGTGGCGCCCGCTGTTGTTCCTGCTGACCGTACTCCGCCGGGTATTGCAGCGCGCCGGCCTGTATCGACGAACCCACAAACTGCGCGCCTTCGCCGTATCCGTAGCCGTACCCTTGCCCCGTCCCCGGCCTGCCCGTCGAAGGCGCGGACGCTGGAGACTGCGCCGTCAGAGGAGCCCTGAAGCGATCGGCCCCGCTCACGGCGGGGTACTGGGTCGGGGTCTGGAGGAGTCCTTGTTGTCCAGGGTAAGCAGTGGGATTGGCCTGCCTTTGGCGACGGTCATTATTGTCCATGCCAGCCGACCTGCCCTTCTGAGCAAGGTACAAGGGCGGATCGCGTGCGCTCCGTTGCCCGAGCGGCGTGAGAGGAGGAGTCGCGTAGAAGGCCAGCTTTTCAGATTCTTGCTAACTCTGGGTTAGGCGATCGAGACGTACGTGGTGGGTCGGCCGAGCAAGCGAGCGGTGTTGCTGCGGAGGCGGTGCGAGGGCGATGGGAGAAGTGGGAAGTCTTTTGGGACGCGTCCCACCGAGTCAGAAGGCGCGGGGGCAGTCGAGCAGAGACTTATAAACTCACAATCGACTGAGGTCAGCGACAGAGTGGGATATTAAACCAGTGCGATTCAGGCCCGGCGCCTCACAGCCACGGACCAATGACAGGCGACAGGTGCGCCGTTGGAAGGACTATGGCGTAGTGGCCTCGCGGTAGTCGATGATTGCCGCAAGGGTACCCTCGGACAACTGCGACGGGCGGTGCAATCGGTACGCGTGGTACCTCGATCGCGCGCAAAGGGTGGGCCGGAGAAAGATGCAACGCAGGCTGCGCAGCAGGGAGGAAGGCTGTGGAAGAGCGGGGAGGGCCGGCGAGCGGCAGCGGCCGGACAGGGCTTATGTGGAGGGCAGAGGATGGAAGAGAGAGGGGAAAAAAAAAAACAAAAAAAAAAAACCAAAGAACCCAGCACTAGGCCTTCGGGATGACGGGGCAAGAGGATAACAAGAGGGAAGAAGGATTGCGCCAGCAGGCAGGTGATATTTGTGGGCGTGGGCAGGTGGACGCTGGCCGCTATCACTGCTTAAATTCGAGGGAGTAGCAAGTGAGGTGACGGACCTGAGGATGGCGGTGCTGGAGTCCCATTGGCCGACATGGGCGAGACGGCGCAGTGAAGTAGGCTCCAAGTAGCTGCCGGGCGTCGAGCGATGATCACCCCGGGATCGCTGCAGGTAGGGCTGGTGATAGAGTCGAGGGGAGGGCACGGCGCCGCCGTGTCAGCGGCAAACCCAAGAGATGACGGGTTCAGGGTGGTCGAGACGGATGCAGAGCCTAGCTTCTGGCCGTACCTTGGGCGCAACAAAGACTGCTTCTCCACGCATCGATGCAAAAAGCAACGCGCCCGCAGACCAGGCGCCGGCCCCCTGACGGCGCGTCGTCCAGTTCATGGCGGCCAGAGGCAGAAGAAACCATGTGCGCTGGTTTCAGCGCCACGGGATGTGCATCAGCCTCCCGCTGGCCGCACCAAGGCCCGCCAAGTAACACACCTCATCAACAAAACCCGAGGTGTGCAGTTGCTGTGGTGCGCACGGGGCGCTAGGGGTGGTGTTGGAAAGGCCTTCATCTCCTTTATGCGAGAGGCCGGGGGGGGGGGGTGGGCGCAGCCCACAGCTAACGAGCATCCAGCCTAGCCTCATCGTAGATCCGGATCAGCACTCAGAGGGCCAACGCCCTACGCAGATCCCGTAGAAAGAGGTTGGGCCAGTGCCCTGCTGCGATGCGACCTGTCCACATGACTCCGATCATGCCACTGCCTTAGCATCGAAGCTCCTGAAACCTTCGAGAAAATGCGCCCTCTCCCCGCATGTCCGTGGCTTGCAGCGCCAAACGGTCTTATGCAACTCGCATGGGCAGATCCGCGACGATATGCAAGGTACCTGGCTTGGCATCTTCCACTGCAAACATTGTCCGGCCGCCTCCGTGACGACGACGTGTTAACCAACTCCTCCAGCTAAAGTTTCACCTGACAGCTCATCTGCGCCGTCGTTTGCCAAGTGGGGGGAAGTCCTTCATGCCCACCACGTATCCTACTCACCAAAAATGCCCCGGCGAGCCGGCCCCTGCGCCACGGCGCCCTCCGCCCGCCTTTTTGCGCCGGCCTCGCAGAAGCCTTCTTCGTCCGCAAGGGACTCCAGCAACGGCTCGCATCCTCCCCGCGGCTACGCACCTGGCGCCATGCGTCCGCACGTGGGGGAGAGGCTCCCCTGCAGGGATGCTGCATGTCCATACCCGCAATTGTATGCTCACAAAACAAAAGATGGAATGGCATACTTGACCGTCCAATCACTGAGCTACCCGCTGCCGCGGCGCGCAAACCAACTTCCCCCATGGACGTTCGCGGGGCTGGCCGTGGCCGTCATACGAGCTTTCTCGAACGCCGGGCTCGATGAAACGGGCTGCAGACACCTAACACCCCGGCCGTTGGGCACCAAAAGCGTAGCTTCTTTCACAGTCAACCCAACTCCGTCATCTCCAATCAGTGATGCACATGGAAAACGAAATCCTTTGACTTGGACATGGAACAAGAAGAAACCTCTTGCCGGCCTGGGCGCCTTGACTGCCGCCCAAGCCGAAAATGTACAGGTAGTATACAAAAAAAGAACTGGTACCTAACGCTTGACCCAGGTAGGCATCTTGCGGGCCTTGATGTGACCGGGCTTCTTCCTCTCAACCTTACGGGGATCGCGAGTAACACACCCAGCTGGAAGACGTCACAGTCAGCAATGAGTCCACACGTACGCAATGGGGACCGTGTGGGCAGTGATGCAGAAAAGTGAGGCGAGGATAAGGCTTTGGTGTCATGAAAGCAACCAAGCTTCATCGCCCGTTTCAGCCGAAACACGCGATGGATCGGCTGTTTGAGGAGGGCGAAAGTGGGGAATTGCCGCAACGTACCTCTTCTCAGGGCAGGCTTCAGCGCCGGTTCGTGCACCATCAGAGCTCTCGCGATGGCCAACGTCAGCGCCTCGGCCTGTCCAGTCGTACCTCCACCTCTGATAAGTGCCCAGACGTTGTACTTGTCCAATCTCTGCGTGGCCTTGAGCGCCCAGAGTGCACTCTCCCGGTCGTGTATCCGCTTGAAGGTCTCCGTCAGAGTCTTGCCGTTGATCAGGACTTCACCCTCGCCCTCCACAACCCATGCGACTGCTGAACAAGTCTTTCTCCGACCCACTCCCATTCCTCTTCCCATTTCATCGAGCGCCTTTGGGCTTGGCTGCCTATCGTAGGGGTTGATTGCTCTCTTGTATTTTTCCATCACCTGCTTAGCCTCCTCGGGCATGATGGTGGGGTGAATGTAGTTCAGGCGTTGAAGAACTTTCTGGAGCTTCCGCCATTGCGCAATCTTGATGGGCTCATCGGCCTTGTTCTTGTACTCTGCCAAAGACTTCCAGGCGACTCTTGGTGCGTGTATGGGCTCGATTTGCGGCAGCGTCTCGTACTTGCGGAGGACGGCTTTCAATTCGAGAATGTCGTCGATGAACGAAGGCTTGGCGGTGAAGTATGAGGGCGAGGCAGGAACAACGCGGACCCTCTGCAGGAGCTTCGGTGTTTCATCATCATCCTCGAAGTTGATGGGAGCGGCCGCCTCAAAGGGCTCGAATTCGGATTCTGCTGCGCGGCGTGCAGTGGTGGTAGAGAAGGATGCTTTGAGCAGTGCCTTTTCCGGGCATATGCGCGCCCGCGTGGGTTGGGCGAGCGAGCTGGTAGCCCGCTTGAGTCCGGTCACAAGTCCTGCGCCCCTCATCGCGCCTGTGTCTGACGCAACTGGCTCGCTGGTGGTGGTGCTGACTGGGGTTGATCGTCCCAAACGCTCTGAACATTTCACGAGCGCGAGGCTACCGACTAAGCGAGAACCACGCTCACTCCAAACACGCTCAACTGCGGCAGAATGGGCCCGAAGAGACCTAAACTCTGCAGAGTATCTTCTCGGGCGATCCTCTATGGACAGTCAAAACGTCAAGAGTCACCGAGAGGCGGTCGACGCGGCGTCGCCCTCGCAACCAGTCGCGTCGTTCTCGGCCGTCTCTGCGATAGCCTGAGGCTCGCCGGAAAGCTCGGGCCATGTCGCACGCTAACCCTCTCGCAAATTTCTTGCCTTCGACCTGCCGCTTCCCACCAACACCACAACCTCTCTCACTCCGACATTGAAACGTTAAGTTTTCTTTGTCTCTTTGTACTTTTCTCTTAATTCATTGCACGAGAGGAAATCATCAGCCATGTCTTTCGGCAAGGTCTACAGCGTCAAGGTACGTTTTCCCAGAGCTGGAGGTGACTCGACGACCCCGCCATGAGTCTCTGGAAAGAATCTTCCCTAACACCACGTCTCTGCAGGACCACCCCCGCACCCAGCCCATTCTGGCTGTTGCTAAGGAGAATGGCCTTGACATCGAGCTCGTCGAGACTGTTCCCGGCCAGGTCTCTACCGACTACCTGAAGCTGAACAAGCTCGGCAAGATCCCCACTTTCGAGGGTGCCGATGGCTTCGCTCTCTCTGAGTGCATTGCCATCGCCGTCTACGGTACGTCAAGATTTTCTTCACTCGCTATGATCCCTCGCTCCGCCTAAAAGGATGAGAAACCTTTATCAATACAGTTATCCCTGTCTGAAGATTACTGTTGAGAACTATTCACACTCTGAAAAAAACGCGAAACTCCATTATTCAGTCATTGCATAAGCATGATATGACTCAAACAGTCGCTGACCAGCAACCAGTCACCTCTCAGAACGAGAAGACCGCCCTGCTCGGCAAGACCAAGCAGGACTACGCCTCCATCCTTCAGTGGATGTCCTTCGCCAACCAGGAGGTCCTCCCCAAGCTTGCTGGCTGGTTCCGTCCCCTGATTGGCAAGGAGTCCTACAACAAGAAGTCCGTTGAGGAGTCTCAGAAGGCCGCCCTCAAGGCCGTTAAGGTTCTTGAGGAGCACCTGACCGTCCACACCTACCTCGTCAGCGAGAGGCTCACTCTCGCCGATATCTTCGCTGCCTCTATCTGCCAGCGCGGTTTCCAGTACTTCTTCGATAAGCAGTGGAGGTCCGAGAACCCTGCCACCACCCGTTGGTTCGAGACCGTCGTCAACCAGCCCATCTGGACTGCCGTTGCCGAGAAGTTCAGCTTCATCGACGAGGCTATCAAGAACGTTCCCCCCAAGAAGGAGGCTGCTCCCAAGAAGGAGGCTGCCCCCAAGGCGGCCAAGCCCGCTGCCGAGGCTGAGGATGAGCCCGCTCCTGCCCCCAAGCCCAAGCACCCCATTGAGGAGCTTGGCCGCCCCACCTTCGCTCTTGACGAGCTAAAGCGCAAGTACTCCAACGAGGAGACCCGCGAGGTTGCCCTTCCCTGGTTCTGGGAGAACGTCAACTTCGAGGAGTACTCTCTCTGGAAGTTGGACTACAAGTACAACGACGAGCTGACCATGACCTTCATGACCTCCAACCTGATTGGTAAGTACTAAAATACAACCCGTAGGAGTTGAGTGGTGCTAACAATGTTTACAGGCGGTTTCTTCACTCGTCTTGAGGCTTCCCGCAAGTACATCTTCGGTGCCGCCTCCGTGTACGGTGTCACCAACGACTCCGTCATCCAGGGTGCCTTCCTCATCCGTGGCAACAACGCCGAGCACGCCTTCGACGTCGCTCCCGACTACGAGAGCTACCAGTTCACCAAGCTTGACCACACCAGCGAGGAGGACAAGAAGTTCGTCGAGGACATGTGGGCGTGGGACAAGCCCATCGAGGTCAACGGCAAGACCTACGAGTGGGCCGACGGCAAGGTCTTCAAGTAGAGGACTTCATGATACCAGGGCCGCAGTGATTATTCCCAAAAGTTCTTTCACCATCACTGTGGGTTCAGATAGCGGAAGGGATGACGGCTGGATGTGTTTACGAGCGCGCTCCTAGCATTCAAGAATTATGATATGACATTGACGTCCTGTGGCTTTTTGGTCCACATCTGATTCCCCGAATTCTGTCGCCATGTGGCATGTGCAACCCCCGGAACCCCGCGGTGGTCTGTTTCGTCTGTGCGAGTGAACCGTTGGTCTCGGGATGAACTCTGAGAGGGCGAGCTCGCCTGCATCATGCACCGATGATCTCCATGCTAGGGTGTCGGGGATCGTGTGCTAGCCGTCAACGGCGTTCGAGTTCAAGTCGAGGTCGTCTCACCAGTACGCACAGCAGCGGCGTACACGGCGATCCCCGAGCACGAGTATTTGTACAGCAGAGGCTCGCCGAAACCGTGCAGGTCTGGCATGCTATAGCAGACGGGGCGAAGACATATCGTAATATGGTTGACTCCTTCCACACCGTTGCACACCAACCACGGCCGGGCATTGCGATTGCGATCTCCGGGCCCCGGCAGTTCAGCGGTATTTCGATCTCCCAATCACATGATCATGGCCTGCAGTGTCGATTATGGGGCCTTTCTTTCATCATTGCGGGCCCGCGAGTCAAGCATTCAACGTCTAGTCTGGACCGGCCGTTGTAGAGGCCATCTCTTCCATCTACTTTGCCTGATCCTGCCTTCGCAAGGCCGAACAGCTAGAACGCCGTGGGAACACCCGTGGACCGCTCTCTTCGCCCCCCCCTCGTCCCTCCAGGAGCAAGCCCGCCCAGCTCCCGCCTCCCCTTTGAACGCGCAACCGTCCTCCGCGCGCGCACAGAGTTTTCGGAGGCCGCCCGACCCCAAGCGCATTGTTTTCTGCCTCGATCCTCAATCATGGTCATAGCGTTCTGACCCTGAGCTGTCGCGCTGTACTAGCAGACGTTGGCGTGTCTGGCGCCTTTTGGGAGTTGGAAAATCGAAACCGCCTTTCAGCAAAATCTTTTCCTTTCTGGAGCCCGCATCCGTCGTCCTCCTCCTTGGCCGAGCGCATACGAGTGTGCTATAAAATTGCCAGCAGCAAGCGCAACGGCAGTTTGCTGCGATTAGCCACCAGACGCACGTAGCCACCTCCACCGCAATCCTCGGGGGACTCGCCTTGCGCCTTGTGGACTCGAGCTTCCACTTTCTTTGTTAAAACGGGGTTTTTTGTTCGCGCACTATATCTCGTCCTGCCGTGCGTGCTAGCCAACCTTATCGGCTACACTACTCTGCGACACCATCTGAGACCCGAGCCGGCAACAGGCAGCACGGAACCACTAGAGACCAGAAACGAGCACTGGCGCCGTGGTCATTTACCACCTCTACGCATCCGCGTGGTAGATCGTTCCTGCTCAGGGAACGACCGAGACATACGGCTCGCACGGCGCAAACGGAGGACGCCCTCCTCGCAAGTCCCCGGCGACTGCCGGCTCCATGAAGAAAAGCGATGGGGCATCGGATGAACGTCCGAGCAATGCGGCGATTCAGGTGATATGTCTGGTAAGTATCAGACACTGAGCGCCTACACTTCATGGCCCGTTCATGGTGGTCGGAGCCAACATCATCGCGTTCAGGACCGGAGTTTGCGCGGATTTGTTGCCTTTGACCGACGATGCCTCCTTCGACCTATCGGGACTTTGCATGAACAGCTCCTGCGAAATCCTTGAGCCCGTGCTGATCATTAATGTAGGGCGCCGGTGGTGGGCCAAACGAAGACAGCGTCACCGGGTTCCTTGTGCGCTCAGCGTCATCGAGATGGGCCAAGAACTCTGTCTTAGCCGTTGATGCCGGAACGCACTTATCCGCCATCACGCGCATCTTGGAGAAGGACTTTCCCCTGGTGGCTCAGCACAATCCCGGCACGCCACGGACGCAATTCGAACATGAGGATTCTCAGGATTCCCCCAGCCCTACGGACACTGGCTCTTCGATGATCGAAGCTTCTTCGCCAGGAACTGAGAGTTCGTTCCGGTCTTACTCGCCTCAACCGACCATTACGACACTGAGCTCCGGCCCGTTTGCCGGCCTGCCTTTTCCGCATGCTTCGGCACGAGCAAACGCCGTGCACGTAGTCCGAGAACATGTGTCTACCTATCTAATCACTCACCCACATCTCGACCATCTATCAGGCTTTGTCATCAACACTGCTGCCTTTCACAACACGACTAGGCCAAAGCGCCTAGCAGCTCTCCCCTTTACCGTGAACTCTATCAAAACCCATATCTTTAACGATATCATTTGGCCGAACCTTACTGACGAGGATGGAGGCGTCGGATTCGTCACCTTTCAGCGACTGGCCGAGGGCGGAAATATTGCATTAGGCGAAGGACCTGGTAGGGGTTATATTGAAGTGTGCGATGGTCTAGGGGTAAAAGGCTTCAAAGTCAGCCACGGGCACTGCATGACAGTTCAGAACCACATACACCGGGGAAGCAGCGTGCAGTTCAACGACCCGAATGCAATGCAGGCAGCTACTAGTGGCGACGGCAGATCCCTATCGATCTCTGGCCAGCCTTCACAACCAGGTACGCCCCATTACACCGGCCACAATACCTCGGCCCCGACCATGGATCCCACGATACGACAATGTGTTATAGACAGCTCCGCCTACTTCATCCGCACCGAGTCCGAGCGGTACAACTCCTCATCACGCCCCCCTCCGGCACGAGAAATCCTCATCTTCGGCGACGTCGAGCCGGACTCCCTGTCCATGTCACCGCGCACCGCAAACGTGTGGGCAGAAGCCGCACCCAAGATCGCCTCCGGCGTCCTCAAAGGCATTTTCATCGAATGCAGCTACACAGACTCGCAAGGCGACGCCGTACTCTTCGGACACCTCGCGCCACGACATCTAATCAACGAACTCCAGACGCTAGCCGACATGGTGCGCGAGGCACGCAAGGAGCTCGAGCGCGAGCGCGAAGAACACCGCAAAGCACGTAAACGCAAGCGCGCCAGCGTCGATGGCCTCCTCTCAGGAACAGAAGACGACCGGCCAGCACGACGACGCAGCCGCTCTCGCCGGCGCAGCCGCTCGCGCGCCGACCGTCCCGACCGCCCCAATGGTGCGCACAACGCGAGCCGCACGTCGTCGTTTGCGGGGATGTCGGGGCTCACAGCCGCAAACTCTGGCAACAATAACAACAACAACAACAACAACAACAACAACAACAACAACGGCGGCTACGGCTTCGACCACCCCATGTCAGGCGCCATGTCGGTGCCTATGCTCTCGCCCGCCGAGTACGCCATGCGCGACTACCTGGACACGCCTAGCGGGACGCCCACGCCCGCAGCGCTGGACCCAACGCAGCAGCCGATCTTCCCGCAGCTGATTCTGCCAACGGACGCGGAGGCATGCTCGCGCGCGCACACGCACACGCACGCGATGACGTCGCCGCCGCCAATGTCAACGTCCATGCCCATGCCGCACGCGCTGTCGCCCGCCGTGCTGGACCCGCACACGGCGGCGCCAGTGAGCGCGGCCGCACGCCTCGCCCAGCAGCAACTGCAGCAGCTGTCGGCGGGGGCGCCGCTGCGCGGCTTGCGCGTCATTGTGATTCATGTCAAGGACACGCATACGGATGGGCCGTTGGTTGGGGAGGCGATTCTGGCAGAGTTGGAGGCGCATGAGCGCCGTTTGGCTGAGGGGGGGAGGCCGCTCGGCTGCGAGTTTGCGGTTAGTAGGCATGGGGGGAGTTATTGGTTTTAGTGCGTGTGTGTGTGGGTGGTTTTCTTGGTGGAGTGGAGTGCGTGGGTGGGTGCTCTGGCCGGATTTGTGGTAACTTGTGGATGGCGGGTTGGGCGGACGGACGGATATACTGATGTATGCATGTATTATTACCGCCAGCGACGCGCGCGCGCGCGCGCGGGTCGTTGGTCCGTCGGATGTGTTTGTGGGGGCTTCGTTTCGCTGCTTGTCTATCTATCTATCTATCTGTATACAAATAAACGGACGGAAAGGAAGGACGGGAGAGAGGAAAGGATAGGAACACGCATTTCTGGCTGGTACAGGCCCATTAAGCACAGGGGTTGGGAGCATTCGAATGGATGGACTGGGCTGGTTGCTAGATATGGCAATATATATTTGTATGTATATGTATATGTATACTATTTCTTAGGCGACTAGATCTTATTTATCATCCCGATTCGAATTAACTCATCCTAATACTATTTACTTATATTCACCCCCTTAAGAACTAATCCAACCCGCTCTAATATAAATCTATTAATCCTGCTCAAAACCACTCTCTCCATCCCCAATCCCAACCAACCCATCTTACTATAGATAAATCTACCCCATTCGAATTTAACCCTACCTATACCCCTAAAAAACCACTCCATCACTACCCCTATTAAATCCCACCATCCCTCCACGAACCACTCCATCCAGCCACGAACACACTAAATTCACAACATTTTGAACCAGTCCCTCCCCATGCGAAATATTTCCACTTGTCCCGCTCTGAAGTAATTCGTCCGGGCCTAACTTGTGTTCAAGCTCTGAAGCACGTACCTATATACACACACGTGTCTGCACAATCGCACGCAGATGCCCACAAAAAGGGGGCCCCAGACGTGGCCATACGCCATACTCGCGCTAGGAAAACGCAAGAGCAACCCTCCCACAATAAGACTAAGCCAATCCATCTGTTCGGAGTCAACAGCCTGCCAACCAAGTCACCACAAGAACACGGCACAAAGAAGACAGGAGTCATGTTTTCACAATTCTGCATTGCGTGCTCAAACAGCCAAAGCCCGTTCAAAAGCACGAAGCCCTACGGTATCAAGTCCCGTCCAAAGTCAAAGTCAAAGCCAATCCCATCAAAACCGTATATACACCCGAACCCATAACGCGTGCGTGCGTGCGTGCGTAGCCCAATCCTCATCTCCGTCTTATCAATCTAAGCGATCATTGTGTCTCTACAATACCATGGATCGTACACCAAGACATGCGCCTAGTTCTCGATCCACTCGCCACCCAACCAGCGGTTCAGCATGTCGAGCGACGCCTCGGGCTGGTCGTACGGCACCATGTGGCCGCCAGCGTGGACGCGCAGGAACGTGAAGTTGCCCGAGCTCTTAACCGAGCCGATCTTCTCGCCCGAGCCGCCGAGCTTGAGATCCTTCATCGGGGCGGGAGCGTAGTCCTTCTTGCCGGGCCACTCAAGAGCCTCGGTCCACGCCTTGTTGCCGAGCCAGTTGCAGATGAAGTCGGCATCACCCTGTGGAGTCATTAGTATGTTATGAGGATGTGGTGGAAGAGATGTGACTTACAGCGTAGACAAGGACGGGAATCTCCTTGAGGATACCGGGGACAAGACGGTGGAAGGGCTGCATCCAGTCACCCTGGAACAGGAAGTTGCGGTTGATGTCGAAGTTGCAGCTGTCGTACGAGGAAACCTCGGCACCAACAGCCTTCATGACCTTGTCCTCGTTGAGGTACTTGGCGATCCAGCCAAGCTCAGAGTAGCAGAGGTTGCTCGAGTCCTCGCACTTGCCGCGGACGTCGTAGACGTTCTGGCCGGTGCGCTGGTAAGGAGCAAGCAGAGCGTTGTTGCAGTAGATCGACGCGGGCACGCAAGACCACACGCTCTCAGAGTTGTAGCAGCTCTGGATCAGCGACTGGCAACGGGGCAGCGCGTTGTCCATAGCCTGGCACTCGCTCTCGTCGAGAACAGCAGGCCAGCCACCATCACCGCAGGCCATGGGGCGGTAGTGCTCGTACTGAGTAAGACCATCGGTAAGACCGTTGCCGATCAGGACAGACTTAAGGTTGATGTTGCGCTTCTTGTGAGAAAGAATCTCAGAAGCGAAAACGGGGATGTAGTGGCCAGCATAGGATTCACCGGAGATGTGGAAGTCCTGGTGAGCATACTGGGGGAATTGCTTGAAGAAGAGGGTAAGGAGCGCGTAGACGTCCTTGCCAGCAGCGACCGTGTTGCTAACGGAGCCACCAGAGTATGAATAACCAACATTGACAGGCTGGTCAAGGAAGATGACCGAGGCATTGCTGTTCCACGAATAAGGGTTGTGTACAACTTCAATCTTCTTGTTGATAGAGGCCGGGCCCAGCTCCATGAACAGGCCGGTCAACGAGGAGCAGCCAGGGCCGCCGTTGAGCCAAAGGACGACGGGGTCGTTCTCAGGGTCATTGCGGGACTCGAAGAACCCTGTCGGATGAGCCGGTTAGCAAGGCTGCCGTCGAGGTATTGTCGAGGAGACTTACAGTAGAAGAGATGCTTGTCGTTCTCCTCGTCATCAAGGTAGCCGCTGTACTGCTTGACCTTGTCGACACCGAGGATGCTGGGGTCAACCTTCTTGGCGCGGAGGTTGTAGGCCTCCAGCCTGCCATCAACATCCCTCTCCTTCTGGCCCTTGGCGTTCTCGACCCAGACGCTCTGGACGTCGGCGCCCTTGAGGACGTGGTCCCACTCGCTGTCGGCCCTGCGGGTGTGCGGCTTCGGGGAGGAGAAGAAGTTGGCCTTGTCGAAGGACTCGGGGAACATCATCGCCACCTCATCCCAGAGCTGGCGGGCGTCGGAGGTGAGCGAGCTCAGCGCCTCCTCCAGGTTGTGCAGTGGCTTGTTCCAGCCAGAGGCCTCGGAGCTCTCGCTCACGGGCTTGGGCATCTGGAAGACCTGCTGCTGCTCGGCCAGGGCCGAGGAGGCAGCTCCGAGGAGCAGCGCGGATGCCGCAACCTTCATGGTGACGATGGCTGTGACGATGGGCTGATGGGACGATAAGAGCTATGAAAGCAAGCCTCGCAGCTCAAAAGATAAGGCTGGAATGGAATGGGTGATGAAAGAGAGGCCCAGGGGATGGTGATGGGTGAAGGGGAGATGGGGGAGCAGGAGTGAAGCTACCTATGAAGGGTGAAGGTAGCTCGGTAGCTTAGCTCAACGAGCAGGCGAGCTGGGGTTCCTGGATTGTGCTTGCATCACGAGGGCCAAGCACGGCCAGTGATAAGGGCCTGGCCCATCCCCGCTTCGGGCTAGCGTCTGTTACATCATCGGCTGACTCGTTGCGGAAGATTTGACTCTCAGCTCCTTCATACCTAGCTTCTCAACGCAACACAACCTCCTCTCGAGATACCCCGTTGGGATCAAGATGGTGCGCGCGCGCCTCAGCCCGTTCCGCGCAGGTCAAGTTGCAGGACGTGGGCTTCGTCGAGCCAGGCCGAGTTCCTTAGCGAGCAGACCGAGGGACGGACGCGTAAGAGCACAAGTGTTGCTGGACATGACCGTCAAGCACAAGAGTTGAGCGTTGTGTTGGAAGCGTATAAAGAGCTTTGAGTGTGGATAGCACGCCCACATTCAGTGACTATGGCGGGAGTTTGGGAAAGGCCCAAAGTGCTGTGCTACACCTCTAGTTGTGGCTCCTCTGGGAGTTTCATTGCTGATATGTACGTAACTAGGTCTACACTTACGTTGTAGGTACGTATTTCTATCGCCATACGAAATACTATATCACCGTATTTATACCACGTTGGCATACGCATAACTCATTACATTTACTATCGATACTTGGTACATACTACTACGGGAGTACAATGGGAGCAACAAGAAACACCGGCACTCGCTGCCATCTCACCGTACCCGGACGTCGGCTCCCTCCTCGGCCGATTCCTCACACACACACACACACACACACACACACACTTAGCTCAGCAACCAAGCAGCCAGACAGCCGCCACCACGGCACCCGACAGCGCGCCAAAACCCAGCGTCGCGGCCTTCCCCGCTCCCGAAGACGCCGCTGACGACGATGACGGTGACACTCTTGGGCTGGGCGAGGTAGTCGGCGTCACACCGGACGACGGCCCCGTCGCCGAGGGGTTCACGCCTGGCGCCGCATCCGTGCCATTGTACGTCTCGGAGCCGTTGCCCGTCGTCTCGTTGCCGCAGAGGAAGTAGTTCGCGGCGACAGGGGAGCCCAAGCCAGCCGCGCCGAGGAACGAGGTCAGGTTGAAATTGGTGCGCTGGGAGCCGTTGAAGAAGGCTTCGAAGCCCGGAGGCGGGATGAAGTCGCTTGGGTCGGGCTGGCGGAACAGCATCAGGATGTAGCGGTGGGGGGCGACGCTGGGAGGGTGGGGCCCCATATAGGGAGCTAGCGGCGCGGTGCTGTTTGACAGCATGGCGAGGGCGACGCCGTGTTCGGTCGTGGTCGTCTCGACGGAGCGCGACTGCCGTATGCCCGGCTGCAGCCAGTGCAGCACGTCGCTGATGGACGTATTGCTGGGCGACGGCGCGTCCGGGTCAACCATCATCAGGATGTATGTCGCCGGGAGCGTGCCGTTGCCCAGCATCGTCGTGTTGGCAGGTAGGTAGACGGTTGGCTGTGATTGCGTCGCTGGTGGGAGAAGAGTAAGGTCAGCTCGGTGCACAAAGCGTCAGTGGATCCATCGTCACCCGTTGGCGTTGTTGCCGCACCGGCCCGCTGCCGGCTGCGGGGCAGCAACAGCTTAGGTATCCACCATCTTCTTGTCTTCGTCGTTGCCAATGCTCGATGGGTGGTGGTGCAATGGACATACCGTTCATAGAGAAGACGCCGCCGAGCGGGAAGAACGAGGGCGCACCGACCGTCTTGTTCTCGTCAAACGTCGCGGGCAGGTTCACGTTCGTGCTGGGCTGGAAGTTGGGCGGTGTCTGCGCCCACGCCGCGCCGGCGAAGAGGGCCAAGGCAGCGACCAAGCAGTCGAGTGGTAACATCTTGGTGATGGGGGACGTTGGCGTCGTCGTCGTCGAGCTTGGGAGCTTCAATGCGGACGCGGACTAGGTAAACACGGAAATGTGGTAGTCAATTGATTGACGATGATAGAGACAAGGCACGAGTAACAGCAAAAAACGGCGCGTCTCCCGGAGAATAAGAAGGCGTGGGGAGAATGCGGAGGATGTTATTGTTGACAGATGATGTTGATGGCGACAGAATGTCGACGGGCCGGAGACAGACGTCGTCGGTAGCTTTTTGTGGAGGGAAAAGCTTCCTGGTTGGAATGAATGAATGGCAGCGTCCCCTTCCACATTCGCACACGGCCGCGCGCCACCTCTCCATTTTATTTGGCTGGTTGGGTAGGTCTGCCATCAAATCGCACCACATGCACGCCTGCCCGCATGGCTTTGGCCGGCTATAGCTGATCCGTCCGCCGCTCTCCACGATCCGTGGAAATGGTTGCCAGTGTCCCGCGCGAGACGGCCCGCTGGTCTAGAGAGTCTAGAGAGTACCCTGACGAACACCCACACGCCCTGACGCGTCTCCCCGTCCTCGATCTCTACTCGTACCTACACGTATCCTCTCTCTCTCTCTCCTCCCACAGTAGGTCCAGTATGTACAGACAACACTAACACCCTCCTCCCTTACCATCACCCCAGCCCATCTCATCCACCACCACCAAACCCCCCGACGCACACACGCAGGTACCGCACCAGCAGCAGCACCCCCGAACCCCAACCCCGACGCCGACACCGACGTCATCGTGCTGCCTTGCTCCCGCGCACGCACAACCCCCCGCGCTGGCGTGACCGATTGGCCCGATCGGAGCCTTGGCTGCCGCATGCGGCGTTGCGAGCCGCCGGCCCAAGATGCGGAGACGAGACACGCTTGCGTCACGTCGCGCTCTTCTCGTCGTTGGGGTCGAGGGCCGCTTCCGTGGCTTCCCTTTTCCTTTTTCTTTTCTTTTTTCATGCTTTTCTCTTGCGGGGCGGTGGGCGGTTTAGAGCATTTTGCTCCTCCTTTGTAGAGCGTTTTTGGCTATACTGTACTTTTAGCCGAGTAGTTACGAAGGTCGGAGTACCTAGGAGTAGGCGCACGTTATCGTATCCCGCTCCTCCTGATGCGCCCGCACGCAGGCAGGCCATAGGTACGAACAGCCTATCTCTCTATCCAGGCTATAGCAACAAAGTTTCCTTCTCCGTCCACAGCCCTATAGCAACAGCCAGGAACATTCCGCGTATGTGGCAGCAGTTTGGCTCGCCGGAAGCAATCCCTAGGGGTATAACAGTATCAAACAAGCAGACGGCCAAGCACCACGCAAAAAAGTAGGTGCGATCCACGGCGAGAGCCGAGTAGTTACCCCTGCGACGGGGACCAGTAGGTATCAAATACAACAGTAGACGCAGGTCCGACGCACCACGATCACGAAGCAGGCCGGGGGGCAGGTGACGAGCTAGCCGACTCCTCCGATACGCACGCACGCACGCGGCCGACGGCCGTCAAGGCGGATACCACCGTAGGAATCAATATGAGCGCTTGGACAACGACGTAGGATATAGAAGACCAGAGAGAGCCTTAGCATGCATGTTGCATGCACTTTTGCCGCGTCGCCTACTCTTACTCTCACCGCACCAGCTCTCCAACACATCTCAAACCACACCGCCTCACCATCGTCGCTCACTCGCGCACCCACCACCCACTCATGCATACCACACACACACACACACACACACACACACCACGGCAATCTGATCACTCACTCAAGCACACAATCAATCAACAAGAACAAAAAGTCATGAGAAAATCATAAATATAAATCCCAGAGCCAACAAACGCCGTATCCTCTTTAACTGCAAACAGCAAAGGCGAGCCGATTCCGCCAAGTAGTAGTAGTAGTAGTAGTAGTAGTCCCAAAACATCCCAACACCTCCCTTTCCCGGTTCGAAAAACAAAAGCCAACTTGAATAAAATGCACAAAGGAAAAGGAGGTCTAATCTGTAGGTAGTAAGGTGCTTGGTGCCTATAGTCTCGCCCACCACCCGAGTAGGTGTGTGTGTGCGTGTGTAGCTGACGCCTAGTGTGATCTGGCCGCTTCGGCTCTTGTCGCCGACTGGACTATGTAGGTAAGAAAAAGTGATTTGATAAGAAAGAAATCCAAGACTTATATCAATCAATCAGGTGTCAATCCCATCGACCCGCTTTAACTGATGATAATGATGATGCCTATCCCAGCGTTTTCCCCCTTGCTGGTTGTCCTATTGTCCAATACATGATCCACCGTGTGCACCGAATGAGTTATTGAGAAATGTGTAGGAAAAAGAAGATAAAAAGGAAAAAAAGTCAAACTAAAGAGAGTCGTGCCACCGAGGGACTTTGTTACCCTTAATCAAAAATATTCACAACCGAAGACAACAAACAGCCATGCTCGTGTCGAGCAGAAAGGTAGCGCTCAGGATAAAAGTGACCCAAGACTGGTTTTATAAGTCGAGATACGACGTCGCGGCCTGCATGCGCTCGAAGACGACGTCCATCTTCTTGCACATGCGGTCCAGGCGCTGCTGCAGTTGCTCCTCGGACTCCTCGACGGTGACGAGCTCGAAATGCGCGGCCTTCTCCGACGCGATGTTGTCGAAGGAAGCGCGGGCGGCGGAGGGGGCGGGCGTGTTGACGTAAAGGGCGAAGTCCGGGTTGCCGTCGTCGACATCCTCGGCCTCGGCCTCGACGGTCTCCTCAACGATGGGGCGCTCGAGGACGGGGTAGTCGTGCTTGATCTCCTCGACGGGCTCCTCCTCGACGTACTCGGAAGTAGCCTTGCCGGAAAGGACGTCGGTGTTGAATAGGTCGGCAGGACCCTGGGGAACCTCGAAGACGGCGAAGACCTGGGGCTGGTTGAAGTTGAAGCCGGTGTTGGGGAAGTAGCCGTTGTTGCTAATGCTCAGCATCGACATGTCGACGGGCTGCTCGGGGATGGTGGACATGCCCATCTGGGAGTTGTCCTCCATCATCGAGGGAGCCGAGCTGAAGCTCTCCTGGCGAGGGGCGGGGGCCGGGGTGGGGAGCTTGACGGGCTCGGTGAGAGCAGGGTCGCGGCTGAGCTCGTCGAGGAAGGGACCGAAAGCCTGGTGGCGGAGAAGGCGCTCGATGAAAGCGCGGGAGCGCGCGTTCTCCTCCATCAAAGCGCGGTTCTGGAGGCGGAGGTCATTGGCCTCGTTGCTCTTGGCAGCAACCTCGCCCTCAAGCTGGCCGATGTACTCTATAGCATTGTTAGCGCGAGCTCTATGGTGGCGAATAAGTAAAATGGGGCGTACCCTTTCTTCTGGAGCGGAAAGCACGGGCGGAAACCTTGTTCCTCAGCTGGCGGCGCTCCTTGCTGCTGAGCTTCTTGCCCTCCTCGCTGGCAAGCAGCCTCTCGTCCTCGTCCATGTCCTCCTCGTCCTTCTTCATCTTGATGATGTGGGGCAGGACGTTGGAGGCCTGCATGTCAGGCTGCGACTGGAGGGTGCTGTTCTGGCGGATCTGGTTGACGACACGGCCGATGATCTCCTCGGTCCGAGCGTCGGCGACGTGGTGCGAGACAGATTTCCTCTGGGGCTGCGCGCTCGACTGCTGCGCTGCGCGCTCCCTCTGCTGCTGCTGGATGATCTGCTGCTGTCTCTGCTGCTGGGCCTGCGCCTGCGCCTTGGCCGCCAGAGCAGCTTGCTGCTGATGCATGCCGGGGAAGAAACGGACGGCCTGCTGGGGTTCCTCGTGGGAGATTGCGCTCGGGTCGACATAGTCGTCCGAGTGGCTTTCGCTGGGCGAGAAGAAGAAGGCCGGGAGGCCGTTGTTGGAGCTCATTTCCACGTCCATGGAGCCCATGCCCATGCTGTACTCGTCGAAGCCGAGGCCCGAGTTGCTGAACATCTGCTGGTGGTGGCCATTGTACACGGACTGGTTGACGCCGGGCATGCCGAGGCCGGGGACGGAGCCCGAGGGCAGGCCGGTCTGCTGCTTGAAGAGGTCGTACTCATGGCTGGGCTTGGCGGGCGTCTGGTGGTCTTCCGACTGGTCGAGCGGCAGCATGGTGTTGGTGGGACTGCTCATGGTTGAGGTGACGGTGGAGCCGGGCATGTGTGACGAGGAGCTGGAAGGCTGGGGCGACTGGATGGCATTGAAGTCGACCAGCGAGTCCATGTCCGGGTCAAAGCACTGGTTGGTGAAGGGCTGGTAGCCCATGGGCTGAGCGACGGTGGTCGACATGGTGGTGGTGGTGGAGTGCGAAACTCTTGGGTGGATCGGCGGTGGTGTTGAGCAGTCTTGACGACGATGGAAGGCGGCAAGGCGTCGTAAGCGATCTATTTCGGGCGCGCGCGCGGGCGGAAAGGTCCGGGAAGGCTTGCGACGGAACTTTCTTTTTTATTTTGGTATTGTTGTTGTTGAGAAGAGATTTAACGAACGGTCCGGTCGGGCGCGATGGGGTGGGAGGGTAGGTATGGGGGAGAAGAGTGGTAGGGTCTGGCTAGTTGGAGATGAATTGGGGACGGAGGGTGGTTTTGGGCAGACGAAAGGAGGAGGCTGTTTCAAAGTCAGCTGCGAGGCAGTGCACGGGTCATCGCATCTCCGACGCTGTACGGTGGGCCCGCAAGTGCCGCGCGAGAAAAGCTGAGACTTCTCGCTCGAGAAAATCATAGCGCGGAGCCGTGTCCGTGAGCCTTCGCAGGAGGCGCAGAGAGCCACGCAAGCACGCCCTCGCTTGCCCTTTCAACGTCATCCGCCCCTCTGCCTGCCCGATGCGGTCTCGAAGTTCATTTCCCGCCCGACAGCCCGACAAAGACCCCTCGTCCACGCCTTCTGATTCGCCATGTCTCGAACTCACTGCCCGCCCACTGCCCGCCCTCTGCTCCCCCTTCGCCCTCGTTGACTGTCAGGCTGTCCTTCGGCCGACCCTTTCTTCTCTCCTCCATTTTCACTGCCCCCATCTCTCCGACCCGCCGTGATCGGTGTCGACTGAGTGCTCGATCCGAAGGCGCATGGATCCCACCCCCACGAGCCTCCGCCCGCCCAAGGCATGTCTCACGCCCACGCATTCCGGAATCGCGGGCCTATCTCATGCAAAACAAAGCTTTTACTCCGGCGTTGCAACTGGGTTTACCGCCCGCAAACCAACGGCCTCGGCGACGATCCCAATCACTGATAAAGTAGCTGTCCCATCTAGACAGCTTACCAAAGACCCTTTCGCGCCTCTCTCGCGCCCACCGCCCGTCGTTGGCCGGGTGGATACAACTCTAAACGGCTTAAGATGGCCCCACGTCCGGCCCGCATGACGGTGACGAGCAAGAATTCCAGCGCCTGGAAACCAAACTGGCAAACAATGCAAAATCCCGCCGCTGTCATTCGCGGCTTTCTGGTTCGGCCTCGTCGGGCCTTTGTTCCACGGGCTCTCGAGGCACCTTCACTTTTGCACTGTCCGCTGCGAGAGCAGCAACAACCTTCCTCCTCCTTCTCCCCGTTACATCCTGCATTGAACCCTGGGTAGTAGTTTTAGAGCCGCCTCCCCCATCATGCCGCACACGTGGCCACACCTTACCCTTGCCTCACTCCAAAATTGGCAGTCTTGCCCCTGGCAGCAACACACCGTCTTCCAGGGCCCTCGTCCAGGGCGTCCAGGGCCCGCCTGTCCTGACTCGCCTGTGTCCAGGGCCGACGAAGTTTCGCAGAAGGGCGACAGGGCTGCTGCTCCCCGCCTCTGTCGACCTGCCCTGCGCGCATCACATCACTCGTGTCTTTCGCCAATATATCGCCGTGCCCGTGGTCCGTCGCTCGCCCCAACTAACTATTGTACCAAACTGCCTCGCCACCGCAACGTACCGAGAAACGGTACGCGCGCTGCCGAGTCGGCCGAGACGCCTAATCGAGCCAAATACTGTATTGTAGGCACGCGCGCGGTATCGCCCGATGTGTTGTCGCAGTGGGGAGACAGCGCTCATTATAGACCGAGGCCCGGCGCAGACGTGATCGAGATGCCATGGACCGCAGGTCCTCTCTGACGGCATAGCGACCTACCTATAAGATCGTAGGCCCAGCTCATCATCACAGCACAGCACAGCGCAGCGCGGACGAGGACGCCGACTATCGGCCCAGCTACTGCGGCGGCCTCCACCACGATGCACCATGGCTATGGACGGACGGGACAGCTCGTGCCCCGGTGGACGAAGATCATTAGCATCCAGCCCGTCCAGCGCGATCGCTCAAGCCGTGCCCGTTCGCTTGTGCTTGTTTGCCTGCTTTTTTTTTTTTTTTTTTGCCTGACTGTCTGCTTGCGATCCGACGATACTGGACTGCCTACTCTGGGTTGGCGCGGCGGAGGCAGTGCGAGGTCGGCCGGGCTACTCGTACGCTACCGGTAGCCTGAGTCTGCTAAAACCGCACCTTCAAAAAGTAGGGGCCAGCTAAACAGCAACCCGGCGACAAACGGCAATTGTTCGCGGACCAAGCAAGCAGGCAGAGCCTAACAAACACAGCATGAGACGATAGCCATCCGTGCTACACAGGCTAAACCTACCCTACAGCGCTCCTACCTACCTATCCAGGCAGCCAGCCAGCAAGCAAAAGCCAAACAAACCCACCACCACAACCACCAAAACAGTAGAAACAGCACCAATCCCAGGCACCTCAAACCCCAAACCCCCCAGAAACCCTAAACCCTTAAACCCCAAACACCGCGCACGAGCTCTCAGCAATCTAGACCAGACCCAGCGGGCCTCGAGACGCGGCAGCAGCGGCATAACCTTCCCTCCCAGCAGCCCATCATTCATTTGCCCTAGCCTCGTGGGTACTGGGTACCTACCTGCCTTGCGGGGCCTACCTACCGTACTTTCTTACAATACCCACCCAACACCGAGGACCTAGATCCAATACCCGGCGCACCGCCCGCGCGCGGGGCCGCGCAGCCGCAGAAGATGCCCCCCTGACCGCGCGCGTGCAAAGCAGCAAAGAGCGTGCGAGAAGCGAAAAGCGTGGCAGCGCGGCGCGGGAGGCGGCACGGCCACAGCGGCGGGCGCAGCGGCCCGCGCACGTCTGTGGTCCATGTTTGGGTGCCTCGGAGCTCGGCGTCAGTTTTGCTTGAGCAGCATCGTCGCAGTCTTGTAGGCTGTACCTGGATAACTATAGCCACCTAACTGGGGAATAATAGAGTTGGGTGCGTAAAATTGGCATAGGTGCTCACGCATGCGCGATCGCTGCCGGGGCCGGGGGCTCGGGATGGGGCTTCGGCCGCCGTTCTGGAGGCGGTGGTGGGTGGCGCGAGGCGTGCTGTTAGGGCTGGGCGGCGCGCTCCTTGGGCTGCTGCGTTCCGTGGAAGAGGGCTTGGCGCTAGGGTAGGGTGCTGTATGGGCTGGTTCTATAGACGTTGGACGCGTTGGTGCGACGCGCGTCGGGTGTTGGTGGTGGTGGTGTTGTGAGGGGAGCGGTGGTGTGATGTGTGCTGTGCTGTTTGGTGGCTGGGTGTGGGAGTGCGAGGAGGAGATGAGAGGAGGGCGGATGGATTGCTGTGAGTGAGTACGTGGTGTGTAGGGTAAGAAGGTGGCTGGGTAGGGCGGGCAAGGTGGGAGTAGTGCGTGTTGCGTGCTCATGGTGCTGAATAGTGGATAGTAGTAACTAGTGGTTTGTATGTATGTATTGTATGTAGGCATTTAGGCTTGCACGACCCAAGCAAGCAAGCAAACAGGCAAACAGGCAAACAGGCAAGGCAGGCAAGCAGGCCTTCCCGCCACCAATCTGCCAACTACCACAGCTCCTCGTCCCATCTGGGAGCCGATCGCCCCTTGCGCGCCCTGTTTCGGAACCACGATGCCAGATCCGGGCGGTGTGGTAGTAGTGCGGAGCGAGCCAGCTAGGCTAACAAGGCCAGGCTGCCCGCCAGTCTGCCTTGTAGGGAGCGAGGGAGGGAGGGAGGCCCTACAGCGCGGACGTGCGAAGGGCGATGCGCGGGCAGCAATTCAATGGGCGCTGCATGGGCGAGAGCAGTTCGGCCCGCCAAGTGAGACATGAGCTCCACTGACGGGCACGGCGGGCCGGGGAGCGCCCGAGCGGCGAGCGGGCGAGGTCGTCGTCGTCGAGGGCGGGTGTTGTTTTGCGGCGAGGGCTGAGGTGATGGTGCGGGCTGGAAGGTTTGGGGGCTCCTCAGGCAGAGCGACCTACCTACCTATGTACAATACGGGCGTAGTGGCGACGACGGCGGTGCCAGCAGCAGCTCGTTCCGTGGCGACGTGCCGGGCTGCCGGGTGCTGCCACCTATTGTTGCAAATACAAGCAATATTGCGGCGGCTGGGGCGTGCTCGCTCGTCGTCGAAGCGGGCGGGGCGATTCGCGCGCTCAGCGGGGAACACTGCCACTGCCAGGGCGAGGATCAATATAGGTAGGGCTGGGTAGGTATGGCGGAGAGCCGGAGTGGGTGTGCATCATGGTGCCCAGGCATGCTCGCGTTGCTCGCACTGGGCCTCGGCGGGGCGTCGGGTGGGCTGATGTCGATGTCGATGGCAGAGATCGGGGGCGTCGGTCCATTCCATGGCACATGGTGGTGGGGCCTGGTTCTGTCTTGGTTTGTGTGTGAATGTGGGATGGTGGGATGGAGGTCGAGGCCAAGCTTGAAATTGAAATGTCGATCTGCGCACGCGGACCCGGACGGATGTGCTGGATGCCCGCGCGGAGTCGAGGTAAAATGCTGTCGCTGGACCGGCGGAGGCGCAGCAAAAGAGATCGTTCTCTACCGAAAGAGAGCAATCTGCAGGTGAGAGACAGGAGAGACCTATGAAGGAAGAGCCGGGAAATGACTTGGGGGAGAAGAGATCCTACGCTTCAGGGAGGGATCCTACGCTGCCTACCTACCAACAACAACAACCTGTCGTGCCTGTCTCTTCCTTTTCGCCTGCCATGGCCCCTCTTTCCCGTCGTTAACCCTCGTCCACGACCCAGAACGAGGTCCATGGACGCTCGACCGACGTCGCCAGATCCGGGGTCGGCTACAGCCGAATACGAGGCCATCGCCAGACCCTGCGTCCGCAGCGCCGTTGAGCTGACGACGGCCGGCCGGCGGGCGAGCAGTGGCAGGGCACGGGTGGTGGATAGCTTCGCACGTATGTATGTAAGTGCGTATGCATCGAGTATGGCTGGCCATACGCAGTACACCACCTGACAAGTCCAGCGACAACCTCTACTGCCAGGATGGCGATAAGGCGCTATTTTTAGCACGGACGGTGAGCTTGTCCCGACATCTTTGCATGCAAGAACTCGCGTTCGCGGGCTCCACTTCCCAAGCAGAGGGTGTTGAAGTCGAACAGCTTTGGGGGCTGACCGACAGACACATCCTTCGTCACCTTGCAGCGACTTGCGGACTTCCCGTCCGACCCCCCACGGGAGCGCGGGACCTTCCTGCGCTTCCCACGGAATGCGCTGGTTATGATTCGTGTTGATGCGCTGCACAGCCTCAGCCATGTCGACCCCAGCCGCATACTGCAATCGCTGTGCGAATCCCTCGTATCTTGTCCTAAGCATAGAACATTGCTTGGGAGTTCGTCATCATACTTGACTAGTTGCCTGTGCGAGATACTCGGAGACATGGAAGAGCATCTTGGGACCCAACCGCAGCTGCGCAGGGAAACGGATCAGTGAACAAGGGATGGAGCTGACGGTCGCACAGAAATTCTGTCGCACGCAAGGCTTCCCTGACATGCAGCTCCTTTTTCGCGCTCATGGGGGCTGTGAACAACCCTTTTGGCCGAAGATGGGATGAACCTGCACAGGCGTCATCCTCGACCCCAGCCTGATTCTCAGCAAGAGGGGGTAATTTGGCAGAACCTAGTCCATGGCAATGCCGGATGCAAGTATGGCAGCATCGGTCAGCAACCAGAAGCAGGGTAGGTTTGATTGAACCTGAAAGCCCTGTACTGCATGCAAAGCCACAGATCTTCTACGGCGATGCGTACCAATCGTTGCGCATTTGGCAAGACAAAAAGGAGTTCAGGAGGATTAAGTCATTGCACGGATACAGCGGGGCCTCCCCCCCAAAATGCTCTTCAACATCACAGGGACGCATTTACCGGCTATGAGGAGCACTCCCTCCGGTTCTGCCTATAAATTTGAATACCCTGCATCCACTACTCTAACAAGCACAAAGGCCATGTTTTCATGTTAGTGTTCCACGGAACATCGACTTCAAGGCAAACAATTGGCTGGTGTCACATTGGCGGGCCCTATACCATCACACGTCTGGCCAGAGAAGTGACCTGTAATACTGCCTCCAGTCAGAATTCTTCATCATCTCGTATACTTGATCCTCATCATCACTGCGGAAAATGATCGCCGGCCAGCAATTTCCATGGATGAAGCGTGATACCAGATATATTCGCCAGTTTAATCCGATCTGATTGAGCCACTCCATGTTAGGAGTCACTTGGAACACTAGCATGAACATGGTCCTCGTACTGCTGTACAAACTCGTACAGCATGTCTTAAAGCTCTTCTTGACGGGAACAGGCGTCTCTGTGCAATGGAGCGGCTTCGAATGTTTGATGCTCTTGACTTTTAAATAATGCCGTCTACGCACACGCTCAGCGCTTTCTACGAGAAGCAGAGGTGCATGACCCGAGTAAGGGGTTTTCTCAAGCATCATCGCTGGTCAGTCTGTTTCTTTCATAAGGTGGATACCTGCCCTCTGGGTAACGGTTAAATGCTAGAAATTCAGAGGAATCATCATCTCCCAGCAAGCAATTCACTTAGAGTGAGTGAGCAAGGCAACAACATCGCTCACTTTGCAAGCCGTCCATATACGAAGAAACTTTTTACTTGGTACCAAGTTAAAGCCCTTGGCTGCACGTCACTGAATTCCAAAGACACGCTCTTGAGATTTATGAGCTCTTGGTTTCCTCTTGCGGTTGCTAGGAGCGCATATTCATCCGATTTCGACTAAATATCTCAACGCACCTGGCAGTCCTGTTCACTTCTTATCTCACAAGTCCACGCTTTTGCTTTATCAATATTTTCCTCGTTTCCGCTTTGCTTGCTTTTCTCTGGTAAACTTTTCTCTTTCATATTACATGAACAGGACAACCATTGTTCACATTCCTCTCTTTCTTCAGAGACCCATTGTAGGCTAAACGCATGCGTAATCTCAACCACTAATGTCACAGCAACTTAATTCATTACTCTATTCCCGTAAACACAGAGAGCAGGAAAAGCCAGTTGAATATTACTTTACTGCAGTTACTCTGTCATCTTTCGGACCCAAGGGAACCTGCTCAGAGCTCAATTTATTTTATTTCTGCGCCTCAGGTCATTATACGATATAATTAGACTATGATCGATGCCACATGAACGAACAGTCAAAAGCTTGAAGTGCTTTTCAGGCCCGACTATACAATTACTTACGGTACCAGGGTCTCCAAGTGGAAACCACAAAGCTGGAGTAGTTAAAAACTGGGCCCACAAGCCAATGAACCTAAAATGTTCAAGAAGCGTTCGGCGAAATCAAAGTAAAAAAAAAAAAAATCAAATTCGTTCTTCCGTCATAGATCAACGCAATCCTGATTCAAAGATAATGTGCAGACTCTGTCGCTGTTGCTGATGTGTAGTCTTGCCCGTTGTTGATGCACATCGCCTACACCATACATGAATCCATGAAACCACAACGACAATTAGCCAATTCTGCACCCGTGAAAAGGCGACAAGTACCCTATGCAATCGCCTGTCCCAGCATCGTCACAATCCCTGAGATGGCTTCTCTTTTTCCCAAATGAAGTCTACAGTGTAGTAGCGGACCGCGTGATTTTTTTTTTTTTTTTTTTTTTTTTTTTTTGACAAGTGGGTTCCTGGCCTTTATAGGGTGTGGTCATCTCGGCGTTTTCTCAGGATTCCATACCACATCATGGACTGCATTTTAGATTCGACAGACGTGTTAAATCCATCGCTCTTGGTATCATGTGCTGGAGTGTTAAGCTAAGAGTCGGTGAATAAATAGGCGAATGAGGTGGTGAGAGAAAGTCTACATTGCATACAACAAATAAAGGAACCGAACAGAACAAAAATGCCATAACAACATTCGGTTTACCCATCGCAAATATACGCACAATTAGCAAAGCCAAGCTCGAGAACGAGAAGCCAAACTACCTTCAACGAAGAAGTCAAGGAAGCTTGACAGCCTGGCCCGTGACCGGCAGACAGTGACAGTGTGGGCTGGCAAATTGCCACAAATTGCCGGCATTGCCGGTACTGCCGGTACTGTCAATATTGCCGGCAATCATGGCACTGCGTTCGATGTTGTCGTTCCACACTTGCCTGATTTACTTAGCGCGCGGATGGTCGCCTTGTTTTGCTGTGGATCCCATGCAAGGACACTGAGAGATGCCATCGCAGTTTCCCGATTTTAGTATAAAAAACGGGGTATGAGGTGTTGCGTGATACCGTCCAGTGCCACTGGATTTGGCGCGAAGTAGTGCCCCAAAGAATTGAAGGTGAGAAGGCTACATAGAGTGTCAGTACTTGCCATAGAATCACGTGATAGATTTAATTTGCGGTCTTTTCCTCAATTATGGGGGGCCTTAATGTTGTAGATTTTAATCGCTATTCAGATGTTCGATGTTGCTGTAAAGCAGCTTGTCCGATTTGTCTAGCTGCGAGGATAAGGCGAAGGTAGGCCTGAGCGTTGAGTTGACTTTGTGAGTTGAACTTTTTCAAGAGCACGAAAGAATACTTCTATAGTGCTGCTTGATGCTATATTCGTCCTACATAAGTTTCTCGTTAGCTTTTTGAATCTTATAATACAATTCTTTTGTGTTGTGGAGGATTGAAAGAGAGAAAGAATATACGGACCTGTTATTTGTATCACGTGCAATGCGATATCATTCAAGTTGGGGGAGGGGGTATTTTACTCCTACGTTCAACGTTGACGTTCTGCCACCTTCTTGATAGACTTAGCGTGGAATACCGCCTTCTAGGAGAGGGCAGACCCCCGCCTTCTCTGCTACGATTGAGAGGCAGACAATCGCAGACGTCCGACCATGAAGTTCTGCCGCTTGCCTGTTGCGATTAGTCTTTCCGGCCGCCTTGTGTCGGACTGGAATGCGAGCTTGCTTGAATGGCTTGCTGCTTCTTCTTTGTCGTCGCGGTTCGAATCGCCTGGCACAGTAAGCCTCGCAGCAATGCAATCTTGCGACCACATGATCCCTCAAAAGTCTCTTGGCTTAAGGCAGTACTCTTTCAGTCGCTGGAACTGTATGCTAATTCATACCTTCTTTCCTCATCTGCTAAAAGTTCAGACATCGCCAAGCCTCGGGACCGTTAAGGTGTGCCATCTTTTTTTGCATAGGATCTTTAACTCAGATGTCCGATGTTCAAGTTCTGCCGCTTGCCTGATAGGATTAGTGCGTCGGGCCGGGTGCGGGGCAGGAGGGACTGAACTCCGCACAAAAGCCAGGATCCTTACAGTTCCAACTGAACGATGGGAACAACAAAGACCGTTTGATTGTAATTCGATTCGCATGCGAACCATGAGTCGAGCATGTTCAAGAAACATAGGAGTACGTGTTGACAACTCACAGCCACCTTGTTGATCTCGATCTCGACATGTTTGACTTTGATAGTCATCCATTCATTTTGCTACCAGGCTACTCTGGCCGAATATCTGCACGATTTCCCCGTCGGCAGAATTAATACCATCATCAAGCATGAAATTCGTCAAATCTTCTGCCACAACCTATCCATGATCATCGTCTACGACTTAGCCTGTTCGTGACCCACCGTCTTGTGAACCTGACCGGAAGTGGAGCCGCCCAGCGTGTCGGAGGCAGAGGGGGTCTGGTCTTCGGAGGTGGGAAGAGCTTCACCGGAGTTGTTGGGTTTGAACGAGCGGTTCGCAGGTGCAGTGCCAGGAGGGTAAGTCTCGGTGGTGAACTCGGGAGCGAAGTCAGCCGGCGTCGCTTTGACACCAGGCTTGTGCTGCGAAAGGTTAAGTGATGGTCTTGCCAATAGGCGTTGAAGAGCGACTTACCTTCAGAGCATCATCCTCGGGCTCAGTACGAGGGACGTGAGAACTGAACTCGCCCTGGTTCACGACCGAGTCGGTAGCGTCCTGGGAGCGGGTAGCCGACATTGCGGTGGATGTGTCGCGAGGTATCAAGAAGTGATGGGTTGGTGGTGTAGTATTGGGTATCGAGTTTGGTCGAAAGTTGGTGTATGCTTTGAAGAGTTGGTTGGATGAAGACTCTAGCTTAAGGGTCGAAGCGGCTTCTTGAAGTAGCTACGACTGAGGAATGCTGACATGATGTAACTAGTCGACATGTCGGACATTCACCATCGTGACATCATGATACCACCATTCAAATCTTGAGCACGGGGGGCATGATGCGAGGGCACGGGATTTAGTTGTGTCAGCCGCCCACATCTGTCTGAGGCATCCCAAAGAAACACAAAAATGTTGATGCTGTATCGCATTAAGACTCCTTCAAGCTTTGGCTAGATCGAGCTACATTATGGCCATTCCACCCGGGGAGGGTTTCGCACTTTCGCACCCCTATGGAGACATTGTTTACATCTCGACATGGATAAACATCGAAGACGTGTGTCCAATCTCGACAAAATGTGTTTGAGTAACGTTATCGGGTGGAGACTGATGCCAATCTCCTCGTAGGAGTACGGAAGTCGCGGGGAACGTCCGTGCGTCTGATGTTGTAGGTTGTTTCAGGCGACTTCACGCCCTCCTCACTATCACCTCACACCCATATGTCCGACCATGCTCGCAGAACAACCGTGGCCAAACCCCAGCGTACCAGTACCCCGTGTAGGACATGCAACAATCTCGACCCTCGAGGACACTCTTCTACTTTTTACGATACCGAGAGTACATCGCGTTCCATAGCCAGCTTGACCTTGATTGTCGATGCCTTGTCCCTTAAAAGGTCACGCGAAAATTGCCCACGATGCCATCTCGTGGCCGAGGCCCTTGATGCCCATTCTAAGGACTGGAAAACTAGCCGTCCTCCCGTGCTGCTTGAGTTGACCGAGCACGCTCCGATTCGAATCACCCTCCAACTTTCTCGATCGAGCAGTGAAAAGGTAGAGATATACGCATCTTCAAGTAAGTGCCCCGGTATGGTAGAGGGTTGACCTTCACTATTCACATTCATTTTTAATTATATCCCACACGTGATTTTGGAGGCTTCTCGTCCCAGAGGATGCCCTGCAACCAACAAAAGTCTGAAAGTCTTCATATAAATCCCATCCATTTCGTTACAGTTTACTTGTATGCCCACTGGACGAGATTTTACGATCGCTATCTGAACCTGAACAGATACTCCTAGACCATGGTCTACACTGGGGTGTGGTCACAGCATTCCAAAACATGCCGACTCCGATGGCAGCCTTCGGTTCGCCAAGAAGGCAATCGAAGATTGCGTCAAGAACCATAAGTCATTACTATGCGGTCAAAGCCGACGGGATAAATTCGTCCCATCGAGGCTCATACATATTGATGAAAACAACACTGATACAAAGCTTTGCGAGTCTCCACCGCAAAATGCGAAATACGTCGCCCTCAGCCATTGCTGGGGATATGGACCACCTTTTACCACCACGATTGCAACGTTAGAGGAAAGAAAAAGTGGCATAGACTATGATTGTCTACCTCCACTGTTCCAAGATGCTATATTCCTCACGGAAGAGCTAGGGATTAAATATCTATGGATAGATGCCCTTTGTATCATTCAAGACTCAAGAGAAGACTGGGAGACAGAATCAGTCAACATGAGCAACATCTATGAGAATGCTTATGTGACGATTGCAGCAACATCTTCCAACAGCAATGACCGCGAGATATTTTCAGCGCGACCACGAGCCACTAAACTGCACTACCAAGCCAATCCGCGCACCAAGGTCTACACAGTTCGCGCACGAAAAATGCCGAATCACCACCCAACGATTGGAGAAGATCAGAGTCCGGCTCGACCAATGGGACCGCTGATGTCTCGAGCTTGGGCACTGCAAGAACATGTCCTATGCTCACGGATTCTACACTTCACCAGTACCGAGATTCTCTTCGAATGTGGACTCGCTTACTGCTGCGAGTGTATGCCGTCTCCCAAACGATTCATGACAACACCTGGCCTACTGCCTAGGCTGCTCACAACTGGCAAAAAGCGTTCGTACTGGAAGACATGGCACCAAATCGTGACGCAGTTTAGCACGCGAGATTTGACCATTCCATCCGACAAACTGCCGGCTATATCTGGTATCGCGAAGAAGTTCCGCGAGCCTACAAGATCGGCCTACATTGCGGGCCTGTGGAGAGACAACCTTGTTGAAGACCTGCTCTGGTCATCAGATCGTTCTCTGCAACCACCGCATGCTGCGCGCAGACTGAGTGTTTACAGAGCTCCCAGCTTCTCCTGGGCATCGGTAGATACGCAGATTCAGTACTACGAGCCGGACAGAGCCAGTGAAAAAGATGTCGATTCGCTGGTCACCATCTACGAAGCTTGCACCAGTCTCACCGGCAGAAACACCTTAGGTGCTGTGAAGGACGGCTGGATCCGCCTCAAAGGCCCGGTAGTTGAAGCCACGCTCATCGCGCCAGAAGAGTATTCGTTTTCATACCAACTGTTCCGCACCGGGAACCCCTCCATCGACGTAGCGCCGGACAGCTTGCTTGTCACAGAGGATGTCGACCACGCAACAACAAGTCCGTTGCCACAACAAGAATCACCCACAAAAACCAGCAACTACGCGGATGCTACAAGCGCGGCCTCCAATGACTCGCCCACTACCAATCCTGCCAAAACAGTCCGCAGAGCACGTCCAGCGGAGATATACACTTCCTTCAAAGCGCCAGTGCTCTGTCTGGGCATCGCGCGCTATGAGGGCTCCTGGATTTCAGGCATCGTTTTAGGCTTGTCTGGCCGCACTATGGGAGAAGCGGATGCTGCAGCATCGACGCAAGAGATGCGCTGCTACGAACGGCTGGGCACGTTTTCTGCGGGCGAGGAGTGGTTCCAGGGCGCGGAGAAGAGGGAGATGTTTCTTGTTTGAAGTGTGACCTGGGCTTGGATGAGCGAGTTGTGGGAGCAGCCACGGCTTTGTGGTTGTCGCAGAAAATCGATACACTTCCGCTCGGTCGGGGATCATGTGGCAGTTCATGGCCAAAATACTGCTAGGAGTTCCCTAATATGTCCGCTACGATGAATCAATCGAACCTTGGGAGATCATGGACCATTCGATAGATACCAACAACTGCAGTGAAATTCTTCTGTACATCTCGAAGGATATTCTGCTGGAAACGAATATTATAAGCCGCACGTCTCTAGTAGCTGTCCGTTGACGTCTTTCTTACACATGGTCGTCTAAACAATCTAGAGCCCCATTCCACAACCCCCCATAATGCTCATCGTTGAATTAGTAACCATTAATTAGCGCTACGAGACAGTCACAACCTGGAAGATAGTAGTAGTCAGAGCCCGGAAGATACTTGGGTCAGTCAAAACTGGGAGTATTTGTAATAGGCCGGTTATGTGCTTATAAAATACTTCCAGATATCGTTCATATCCCAAGAAACAAGAAGACAAGTTTGATATCCTTGGTCGAAATCCAGCAGCGATGTGAAGAGCCTTCGCAGGCTGCCCTCTCTCGGTTGATTTTGAGGACGTATCAGTGAGTGACGTACGTCGAAAAAGCATTCATCAGCAATTCAAGTTCTACTACTTGGGTAGATGATAATGAACATGTTCAGTAAAGGGCTATGATGGTTATCAACACATGTCGCCGACGGAGGATATTGACCTGTGTATCCTTCTACACAGTGGTATCGCAATTTCATAGACAGCTTCAGCATCTTTAGCTTAACTCTCTCCCAGGAGCCCCATGATTTAGCTATTCACTACCTCACTGCCACATTCAGCTCCGTACATTCTCCAAGGATCTAAGGATGGCTTGATGTTCCGAATAGCCTTTTATTGCGCCAAATTAATGACTGCCTTGACATTCTATCAATTATTTTCGGCCCATCGATACTGGCAGCTGGATAAGCTTCTTCAATGCGGCTTATATAACTTTTATGATTATTAGAGGAACCAGTAGGAAGATTCGCTGAGGACTGAAATCATGTCAACTTGCCTAGTAGGAAAGGAAATGATATGCAATCCTTTTCTTCCAACTACACATGCCAAAGAAGCTATAACGAGAAACTAACCCTACAATTATCAGTCTTTCCTCGGTACCAAAAGCAACCACAACTACGTATCTCCCACAAGCCACCACAATCAACCAAGCACAGCACGCCACAACCAGTCTCAACGCCACACCACCAAAAATAGAGCACAGCACACCACATCCACCGCACACCCAGCAAACCAAGCCACCAGACAACCACCACCCACACGCCACCGACGCAGCGGCTCCAGCCCCGCAGCCCGTTTTCGTAGCTGCCTAAAAAACCCCCACACTAGACACTCTCAGCCTCGTATCGCGTCGGCGCCCCAGCGACGTCAGCAGCGCCCATGCGAACGCCAAATGCGCCGCGGACGGCAGTGGCGCCTGCCTACGGGTGGGTGGGTAGTGGCAGGCAGCACCAGGCAGCAGCCGGCGTGGCACAAGGCTGCGGAGAGCCGAGACGGGGGATCCGCTTATCGCGGTGAGCTTGTTTGCTCGCTCCCTGGCTTTGTGGGTGTATGTGTATGTGTATG